TGAACAGAGTTTTACAAGAAGCGTTTCCAATTGCCATCTTCTGGCAAAGCTAAGCAGTATTTCCCCAAAATAAAGGATAGGAGCCAGACTAAAGAATGACATTCCACATGATTCCTCTAAGAAGTTTGTCCTGCCATTTGCAAAAAACAAAAGAATGCTTAAATTCCTCAATTCCTGGGTAATGCCCCGTGTTATTGCAGCCACTGAGGGCCTGCAGACAGTGAAGTCCCAGGTGATGCAGGGTCTGCTTTGAGGAACACTTATTCCATGTTCCTGTGTTTGTATTTATGTGGGAGAAGTGTGCAGCCAGTGGTCCCGTGCTGGGAACAATGCCATCAGAAGCTGCAGCGTTGTGCAGCTCTCTGCCCTGCCAGGTGCTGATCACTGACAGGTCAGTTGAGGTTCTTCCAAAACTGAGTGTTCTGAGCAAAAAAACCCAACCCCTCCTGAGTGTTTTGCAGCCCCAGAAAGCATTTGATAGTCCTCTAGCTCACTGCTGACTTTTAATGACTAGAAATCACCAGAGAGCAGGTTCTGCACCCCCGACTGCAAACCCTGGGAGGTTTCATTGACTTCACTGGGGCAGCACAAATTCATCAAGAGTTTGACTTAAGAAGTCATATTTATACCATTATATAGATATTTTGTAAACAGTTTTTTTAATTGCAAGACAGGCAGTGAAAACCACGGGCCAGGTACCAAATTCACTGGTGGTGGGACACCAAATCTCATCTCAGCTGATCTTAGAGGATATATCAAGGCAGCACAAGCAACCAACCATCCTAATAAAGAGGGCAAGTTAATAATATCAGCCTGGCAAAGTAATTGTCTGTAATCTATCTTCCAATTAATAACTATTGAACCAGAACTTTTTAAGACTTCTCTGTATTATTAAACCTCACGAGCAGGAAACAGGATTTCATCAACAGGCTGGGAAAGGGAACGCTGCCTTCAGTCAATAATGAAACACCCCATGATTTAAATTCAAGCTTCAACCATCAAAAAAGAAGGGATCTAAGCTACTTTCCTGTGCATCTGGCTTGCAAACAGACATGTCCAGAGCTCAGAGGTGGAACAGAGTTACATATTCCATGGAAAAGGGTTCACATATTACCTGGTTTGTATAAAAACTGTCTCTATGCAATTAATACTACTTGGAGTAAGAAAAGCAGATTTGGATTCATTCCATACAACACACTCAGAGTAAGTTTAAAAATGTGCAGCAGCAGGTGAAAATGTCCTTTGTGGCAACTTGGAATTTTTTCCAGGAGTTCAGAGAGCACCATCTTTAGGGAGGGGGATACAGTATTTCCTGAAAGGAAAGGATAATTTTCCACTGGGAAAGGGGCCACATCTTCCCAAACAAAGGAAGTGTCAAAGACAAGCTCTGTTTCCTGCAAATCCATCTGGGAAATATAGATATGGATAGATATATATACAATCATAGAATCATTGACTGGAATCCCAGAAGGTTTGGGTTGGAAGGGACCTCAAAGCCCATCCAGTGCCACCCCTGCCATGGGCAGGGACACCTTCCACCAGCTCAGGGTGCTCCAAGCCCCGTCCAACCTGGCCTGGGACACTTCCAGGGATCCAGGGGCAGCCACAGCTTCTCTGCCCAACCTGTGCCAGGGCCTGCCCACCCTCCCAGCCAAAAACTTCCTCCCACTCTCCCATTTGGAATGGGATTTTAAGCAATCTTTTGAGAAACAAAATAGTTCTCAATAAAAAAGGAGGTTCTCCCCAGGCTGCAAAGACAAGAAAGGGACAAGGACGTTGGGCCAAAGCTCAGCACTGTGCCTGTGCATCACAGCTGGAGGATGGGCAGCCCGGAGGTGGGAAAGGCTGATGGAAATGAGTCGTTACTGGAGCAACACCCGAAACCTGCTCTGGTCTCTCGCCTTGAGCAGTGAAACCCTTCAAAACAAAGCAGCAGAGGCTTTTCTGGGGGGACCTGCACAGGAATCACACCTCCCTCCCACCAACAAACCTCTAACCACAGCAGACAATGCAACCAACACAAGCAGACAGAGTAAAGATACACATGAATAACAATAATTAATCTGACTTCTCCTTTTAGTGGTCCATGCTATGCTGGAAGATTTCATGAAGTACTTTTGAGTTCTGCCAAGGGAGGTCTCAGTCTTCCAAAGTGGTGATGAAAACTTGCCAACACACTCAAAGAGCATTAATAGGTGTATATTGAATTTTAACACAAGCACTTTCTACCAGACTCCCAAATTACTCCTCTTAAGTGGCTTTTCCAGCACTTTTTTCCTAGAGAAACAGCATCACCTTCAGGCCAAAAGAAGACACATTCCAATTTCTTGAATAGGAAAGCCTTAAAAAAATGCTTCTGAAAACCTTGCTCATTTTTAATTCCTTTCTGATCCCAGTTGGCAAAACATGAACATTCAAAAAAGAAAAATTCTAGGGTTGTACAGAAATCTAAAATAAAATAGAGGGAAGGGTCAGTGTGTCCTAGTTTTGGATCCACTCAAGTTGCATAAGAGTCCCCACAGCTGAGCTCAGAACAGTTTTCCCAGCAAACCTGCCAGGAGCCAAGTTCTGTGGCATTTATCCTGCCCCTGAACGCCCCAGCAACCAGAGCAGGCAGAGAGGGCAGCAGCAAACAGGACGTGCTGGGGGGTGCAAGCAGAAAGAGCTCTCAGCAGAAATTCAGTCCCTCACAAACCACAAATTCCTGCTGCAAATTCACTCACAAAGTACAAAAACCACAGAGGGAAATGTTTCTGCTGCTGCCCCAAAGAGCAACCCGCTCTCTGCCCAGGGCAGCACAAACTGAGCACCCTGGGCTGGTGGAAGGTGTCCCTGCCCATGGCAGGAGGTGGCACTGGGTGGGCTTTGAGGTCCCTCCCGACCCAAACCATGAAATGATTCAAAATCACTTTTGATTCACTGAGCAGCCAAATCACACTGAGCTCTCCGTGCTGTTTCATGGCATCCTGTTTTGCAACAAGAGCAGCTGGGAAGCAGAGGGCAGAGGCCTTCGCTGGACAGGAAATTCAGCGTCTCAGCTGCTTCCTCAAAACACCTCCCTGCCCCCAGGGTCAGCCTTTCACGAGTCACGAGATGCTCTTCACCCAGCACTGACCTCCTGCAAGCACCACAGGGGATATTCCTCAGGGAGCAGCGGCTCATCCAGGGACAGGCACAGAAACAGGGGTTTATGTAGAAACAAAGGCTGGTTGGGGTGGAAAGGACCTTAAAGACCCTCCCTTTCTACTCCTCTGCCATGGGCAGGGACACCTTCCACCAGCACAGGCTGCTCCAAGCCCCGTCCAACCTGGCCTGGGACACTGCCAGGGATCCAGGGGCAGCCACAGCTTCTCTGGGCAACCTGGGCCAGGACCTGCCCACCCTCCCAGACAGGAATTTCTTCACAGTATCCCATCTGACCCTGCCCTCTGGCAGTGGGAAGCCATTCCCTGTGTCCTGTCCCTCCATCCCTTGTCCCCAGTCCCTCTCCAGCTCTCCTGGAGCCCTTTTGGGCACTGGAAGTCCCCAGAAAAGACTCCCCAGAGCCTTCTGTCCTCATCCCTGTGCACACACACAAACACAGCAGCAGCAGAGCTAAGGATATTCACTGTCTGCAAGGCCAGGGAATGTCAGCTGTGTAACAGAAGGGTTAACTTTGTTCATAAAATCTTATGTGTATGAGGGAGTCAGAAACTTTTTGTTGTAATTAAACAAGATAAGTTTCACAGACAACTTGCTAATCAAGCAAGTGTCAGTAAAAATAATTGCAGACATCTTGCTAAACAAACAAGTATCAGTACCGGTAAAATTTACAGCTGATAAGAACTGCAGCTTTTAACTCTGACAAATCCCAGATGACCACTCAGCAACGAGCCACTAACTCAAGCCATAAAGCAATCGCATTCAAAACCCGGGACTTGAAAATGTATAAAAAGGGGACATTTATTACATGATGGTGTGTGCCTCGGGCAGGGCACTTGCCCTCCAGGCCACCCAGCGCTGTCTTTGCTTTATTATCGCTTGCTTAATAAATTTATCAATGTTTAATTGGAATTGAGTTGTCTAAATTCCTATACTAACTTATAACAAGCTGTGCAATTTCTTTCCGGTTTTCTTTGGAAAATAAAGGCAGTGTTTCCTACAGCAGAGCCCAAGGCCAGGCTCCCCATTGCACTCCAGATTCCACAGGCAGGGTTTCACTCTGGTTTGTGGCCCTCCCTGCCTGCATTGGGTCCATTCCTGAGGCAGAGCCCTTTGCTGAGTGTCCAGAGTCAGGAACAGCTGTGAGTGGGAGCAATATTTATATTTATAATATATATATTCACTGCTAAGTCCCAGACAGATCATAATGAGAGGTAATTTATATTTATATTGGTAACTGCTACAACTTGGTCACTTGTCTAAAAATTTGTGAAAACTGAATTCTGGTTCTACTTTGCCCCCAACACAGAGGATAATCCCAAAAAAGCCATTCCTGAGTTTAATCCTAGTTACAAGAACTACCCGTAAGTCACCCTAAAATCACTGAAGATCTCACTTATTGCTGTGTCTGTAGTTTAAAGCTGTGGAGACGCGGGGGATGAACAGGAAAAGGGAGAAGGAAATGTTAAAGGGGAGGAAAGTGCAATGTCAGCGTCTGCAGCACGAAACCCTGGGAGCGCAGAGGCAGCGAATTCACCTCGGATAGAACAGCCAGGAAAAACCAACACATTCCATGGAAACCCCCCAAGGAGGGGCTGGGGGCGGGGCCAGGCCGAGGGGGGTGGGGCGTTGTGGAATGAGGGCGGGGTCTGTTTGGCCGGGGGCGTGGTCTAACGGGATGGGGCGTGGCCTTGCGATATGGACGAGTGGCCTGTTGACATCTGGGGGCGTGGTCTGATCGAGGGGCGTGGTCTGACGTGTTTGAGGGCGTGGCCTGGCGGAGTAGGTGCTGCGATTGGTGGGGCGTGGCCTGGCGCGGGGGCGTGGCCGTTCCGTGCCCACACCGGCGCCATTTGCCGCTCGGCGCCGGCCCGGGCTGGAATGAAGGGGCTGTGGCGGGTCCGGAGGGTCGGTGACGAACGATGAGGAGCAATGACGATCGATGACGATCGATGAGGAGCCGGAGCGGAGCCCGCGGGGTCTCCCCGCTGCGAGGTACGGCTAGAGAGCAGGACCGTGAGCCCTGTGGTGCCCCCCGCTCGCCCTCACGCTGCGCTGTGGCGGGGCAGGGCTTTGGGCGCCTGCCCGGCTGCTGCAGCCGCGCTCGGGGCTCCGGGGTTCTTGGAAGTGTCGCTGTGGGCGCCGAGTGGGGCCCGAATGGGCGTCCCCGCGGCGCCTCGGGAGGTGACACCGCCCGAACCGCACACTGAGCCCCAAACCCCCGGGGTTTGCCCTCGGGGTGTCACCGCCCGCGGAACTGAGGCCGGTGATTGTGCGAGGTGGGGGGTTGGGTGTGGGTTGTTGCCCCACGGCTGATGTTTGTGAGGACAGGCGGGCAGTGCTGGGCTGTGGTCACACTGCTGTGTCCCCCGGCACGCCGGAGCACCCCGAGGGGCCTGGGCAGTGCCCGGCTGTGCCCCACGCTGGTCCCTCCGTGGGCTCCTCATTCGTGGCTGTCAAAAGGAAATGCTTGTGCTGAGTGTGGATCCCCCACGGTCTGTCGGGTCTGTTCTCCTTCTGCTTCACTTCCATCTTTTCTTCAATGACCTTGATGATAGAAAAGAGTCACTGGGGCTGGAAAAGCCCTCCCAGCCCATGGATCCCCCTGTGCCCCATCCCCACCCTGTCCCCCAGCCCAGAGCACTGAGTGCCACGGCCAGGCCTGCCTTGGACACCTCCAGGGCTGGGCACTCCAAACCTCCCTGGGCAGCCCCTGCCAAGGCCTGACCACCCTTGCCAGCAACAAATTCCTCCTCCTGGCCAACCTGAGCCTCCCCTGGGAGCTGTGCCCTCAGCAGCAGCACTGTGGCAGCCCGTGGAGAATGGGTGGCTGCTGGTTACTGCACTTGGATTATTAAGGTTAAATTATTTTGATATCCTTAGAAATGACTTATCCAAAGTCCCGCAGCAACAGTGTGGGAATCACACCACAGCCCTCAGTGCAGTTCCCTGGTTCATGTGGTTTCAGTGGTAAAAGGTGATTGTATTTATCTCCAAGGGCTGTCAGAGGACGGTCCCACACTCTGCTCAGTGGTGCCAGTGACAGGAGGAGGAGCAGAGGCCATAAACGAAAAGACAAGAAGTTCCACCTCAAGATGAGGAAGAACTTCTTTCCATAGAGGGTGGCAGAGCCTGGAACAGCTGCCCAGGGAGGGTATGGAGTCTCTGGGGACATTCCAACGCCACGTGGACATTCCCTGTGTCACCTGCCCCAGGTGACCCTGCCTGGGCAGGGGGTTGGGCTGGGTGATCTCCAGAGGTGCTTTCCAACCCCAGCTATTCCGGGATTTACCTGTGTAGGTTTAACACATTCCCCAGCAGATTTCCCTACATGGAACATCTCCTGTGCTGTCAGTCTCTGTCTCGATATTACCATAAGTAGATTTCTGTAAATAAAAGCACCATCTGCTTGTTTGGAAGAACAGGGTGTGTTTTCTGCTTAACCGAGGCGGAGCTTTTCTAAAATATGAGCCAGTGGCTTTCAAAACTTGTGAACTGTTTTCTTGTTTTCTGACTGGAACCCAACCCAGCCTGAACCTGAGAGTTCTGAACCAACCTCAGAGAGCCACTGAGCTGATCGGAGGGCTGGAGAAAAGAAGCTCCAGGGAGACCTAAGAGCCCCTTCCAGGGCCTAAAGGGGCTCCAGGAGAGCTGGAGAGGGACTGGGGACAAGGGATGGAGGAACAGGACACAGGGAATGGCTTCCCACTGCCAGAGGGCAGGGAGAGATGGGATATTGGGAAGGAATTGCTGGCTGGGAGGGTGGGCAGGCCCTGGCACAGGGTGCCCAGAGAAGCTGTGGCTGCCCCTGGATCCCTGGAAGTGTCCAAGGCCAGAGTTGGACAGGGCTTGGAGCACCCTGTGCTGGTGGAAGGTGTCCCTGCCCATGGCAGGGGTGGCACTGGATGGGCTTTAAGGTCCCTTCCAGCCCCAAACTCCAGCTGTGGATGATGTGGAAGTGTGAGACACAGTTTTGGAAGCGCCAGGGGCTCCAGGCAGCTCCCCAGGGGATTCCTGGGAACACAGGCTGGATGAGAGGCTGCAGCTGCATCCCTGGTGTTTCCATGGCTTCTCTGCAGGGATTCCTGCAGCTCTGAAGAGGAGGAGTCACAGAAGATGAGCAGTGTTCCAACAGACATGGTTTTCCCCCGGAGTTTGCCCTGGAGTTTCCCTGGCATTGATAGGTGTGCAGAGGACATCACCTTTAGAGAGCACATTGTCTCACGTGTTTGATGGTGCTGAGCACTCAGCTTGGCCTGGAATATGCAGCATGTGAGACACTGCTGTTGTTCAGCATCCAGAGCCCTCCAGGAGCCACTTGAGATTCCAAGAGTGGGATAGTTGTTATTCCTGACAGCATGGCCAGCGAGGATCCAAGGTATGTAAATCCAACCCCGCTCCCGGAGTGCTTGGAACGTGGCCTGGATTAATTGCAGGGATTAACACATAAAGGAAATAACTTGGTAAATGAATTCAGGGTCCTCAAGGCTTTCTCCTCACGGGAGAATTGTGAACCACCTGGAAAATCCCACCCTGCAGGTGCAGCTGTTGTTTGAATGCTTCTCATGCTTGAATGAATTAATGAAAGGAACCAAAGTGAAGGCCAAGAGTGTTCTCTTTGTCTATGGAATTGTTGGGTTGTACAGGTGCAAGTTCCCAACGTTCAGCCAGAGAATTCCTCCAGCTGGGCCACAACTTGGAGCACAGGAAGATTGACTGCCCAGATAAGGGGTTCTTTTAATTCATTTTATTTTAACAGGTGGATTGTATACTGTGTTAATATATGGGTATGTAAACAGAAGTTTGACCATAATATGCTCTATCGTGATTTTCAATTTTAAGATGTTTGTTTTGCAGAGAAGATAATTTCAGTTGTATTTTCAAACCATTCTAAATAAAAAGCAATTTATTTTTTAAAACTTGGGGAGGGGATTCTTAAGAAATAGTTGTACCCTTGCCCAGCTAATTCAAAACCAGATCCTGTGAATACTAATACCCTGAGGATATTAAATAGAGTAGAATAATAATATTGAAGAGAAGGAATATTTTAACAGATCTTATGCATTAAGAATTGTAATATAAATTCCTAACTTCTTTATAATTAATTTTTCTTTCCTCATCTACTCTCTTTCTGGAAACACTTTTTGCAAGTGATGAGTTCTTGTATTGTTTCAGACAAAGCCAACCAATGTTTATCTTCATTGTATTTACAAAGTTGGAGTGAGTGGCATAAAATTTCCAGATGCTCTCTTAATGCAGAATTAATACAAATAATCATACAGTGGTTTCTGTCTTTATCTGAAGTGGTAAGAGCCGTTTCCATGTTAAAAAAGGCAGTGCTCTTGCCATAAAATTGACTGAAATTGTCAATAAAATTTTAAGGATCGTGGTCCTCCCCCAAAGCTGTAACTCTTTCAGTACCACTGTCCTCTCCCAAACATTAGGGAGGTTAAAATAACTGTATAGTGGTGTTGGTTTATTTATTACTTTACTGGGATAATTTCCTAGGATAAGTTGCTGAATGTGATGATTTTTTTTTCATGTATTTGTAGGTACAGAAGCAAAATGTTGGTTTTCCAAGCAGGGGGAGTTGTTTGGTAACGTCCATGGGAACCCTGATGGATGTGCCAATGCCTTTCTATCAGCTTGGTGAGTACCTGAACCCTAACCCAAACTATTCCGTGGTGTGGCCTCTCTGAAGGTCCAGGGAATAGCTGGACATGTTGGGTTTCATTCCTTCCTTAATTTTTTCAGCACTCCTTGGTTTCTGGATTAGCATTTTAGCAGATAAAGCATAGTTTGCCTGAGCTGGAGTTGTGGTGAGAAGGTGATTTCTTAGAATCATTTAATTGTGTAAACATAGTAAGATCATCACTGCAGAATCCCGGACTGGTTTTGGTTGGAAGGGCCTTAAAGCCCATGCAGTGCCACCCCTGCCATGGGCAGGGACACCTTCCACCAGCACAGGGTGCTCCAAGCCCCGTCCAGCCTGGCCTGGGACACTTCAGGGATGACTGGAAACTCCAGGATGGGAAAGAAGATTCCCCCCTCAGTTCACAAACCATCTCCATTTCCCCAGTCTTAGTTTTTCTCAGTTCTTTGGTGGAAGGGGCTTTTTGTTATCTGTGTCTCTTATGTAACAGTGTAACATAAACAGTTTTGCAACTATTCAGCTTTCTTTGCTGAACATGTTTGTTGAAACAAAGTTCAGAGGCCGTTTGAACTCCAGCTGGCCGGAGTTTGATGTCGATGGGGAGAGGCATTGAAACATTAAATATGGACAGAACAGAGAAACATTTCTGTCAGCAGGAACTACTGACAGCAAGGCAACTGGCACGGATAATTACAGATCTGAGCTTGTGGCAGCTAAAGAATAATAACAGTTAAAACTTTGCTTTGTTAGTCATCCCCACTGGATGCTTTTTCACATGTAGGTGATCTGTTACTACCTGGAAAGAAATCAATTGTTCTGCTTCTGACTGCAGTTCTCTAAGGGGATGTTATTGTTCAGTGTTAACGTTGATGAACAAGTGCAAGGACGAGAAAGAGGATGTCTGTGGTTTGAATGGCAAAACGAAACTTCAGAGACGACTTTCCTGCCCTGTGGGAATATAAATTTCCTGCGTGTGCAGCTCAAGTTTGCTGCTTGATGTCTTTGCATCTCGTTTCAGAAGGGCTGCTGGGGGCACAGCCTAATTTGTGGGACACACTGATCAGAGACACTTGGCTGAGTGTCCTTCCCAAGTGATTTCAGCAGGTGGCCCAGGTGGATTTGTGTGTTCTGGGTGTGCCACCACTCAGGAAAGGGCAATTCTTAAGACACTTCTCTGTGGCCAGAAAGAATCTGTGCAGAGATCTCTTGAATTAATCAAGTAGGAAATGCTTTCTTTCCTCTTCCAGTTCTCTCTGCAAAAGTAACCAAAGATCATGAAATAGGTGCATTAATCCCCAAGGAAATCCTCCCAGCACGTGGGTTCCCACTGACACACAACTACTCCCAATCCCCTCCACCAGGAATTTGTATTCTGGTTCTGTGTTTCACAAAGTCAGGAGATGAATCCAGGGATCCCTTCCAACCTCAACCACCGTGTGATAGTCCTGTCCTAACCATTATTTGTGGGTCTCCCTAAATGGTTTTATTTTTTAATGTGTGTCCCAGAGTTCTGTTCTCTTTTCCCAGTCATTCTTACTGTGGTACATCTTGCTGATATGTCAGGTCAAGAGAAAAGAGAGTTTTAGGGAAGATAATGAAGTAACTTGGCTGATTTTTCCATGGAATTCATCTAAAGCATGAGAAAAAATATGTTTGAAATTATAGTAGTAACTTCCTTGGTCAACTGAGTGTGGGAGTTGGCATCTCATGAGCCAGAGGAATTACCACAAAATGCCTTAAAATGGAGACAGACAGTTTCTATTGGCTGCACTCAGCAAGCAAAGGGAGGCTGGAGGAGCTTGAGGAAAAGAAAAACTAGAAAGGTCAAACAGAATAATAATTTCCAGAGTGTTTTGAAGCACCACGTTGAAAAGACAGGAATGATCAAAGGCTGGGTTGTCAAGGAAAAGAGTCTGGATACAGTGAGACCCTGGGGGAATGAGCAGTCTCTTAGGAAGCTTATGCAGAAGGATGAAGAAACCTCTGGAATATCAGGATTGCCCAGAGAAGCTGTGGCTACCCCTGGATCCCTGGAAGTGTCCCAGGCCAGGTTGGACGGGGCTTGGAGCACCCTGGGCTGGTGGAAGGTGTCCCTGCCCATGGCAGGGGTGGCACTGGATGGGCTTTAAGGTCCTTCCAACCCAAACCATCCTGTGATTCTACAATCCATGGGGATGATTCCAGCAATAACAGAATCTTTTCCCAGCTCAGTTCTAAAATTCCTGTCATGACTCGAAATGGTGTTTATTGGACAGAGTGAGGGACTTGGGGTACAGTCAGAGCCCTCTGAGACAGTGTTTGACAAGGACATCTTGGGTGTGTTGGTTCACACTGAGTTTTGAAGCCCATCTGGAGGGATCAGCACAAGCCCAAGCACAGTGGAGTGATCCAAGAACAGCTCCTTGGAGCCCTGGATTAGTGACAGGGATCAGTTCTCCCAGGCTCTGCAGGAGGGAAGTGTGGAGGAAAGTAGGAGAAAGATGTGAAAGAAGGTGACAGTGCCCCTGAGGGAACACTGGATGTGTTGCAGTGAGCACTGGCAGTGGTTAAAGTGACATCCTGCAGACACACAAGTGCATTAACTCCAGGTTTCAATTTCCAGCGTGCCTCAGCTTTCTGTCTGCAGCTGTTTGCAGCTCACCTGGTAAGAGTTTTTATCATCTTTCAAGTGCTTTTCCTAACACATTTCATAGCTTGCACACCCTCACCAAGCTTCATTTTAAAACTTCATGCTTTTTGAAGGAGGAACTTGATAGAAATGTAGCCCAGGAGCACTGTCCCTTGCATTGCTGTGTCTGTTGTGCTGAACTCTGTCCTCTGGTTGCTTTATTGCTCTGGGGGCATGTACTGAGCTGCTCTGGTTGGGTTTGTTTAGTAGAATTGTTGCAGTCTCACACTTGTTTGCCATCATTTTGGTGTGTTGTTTGTTGGTTTGTTTGTGTTATTTTTAATTTTCTAGAAAGAATTCTGAGAGGGCCTCCCTACAACCTGCGGATGGAGTCGCACAATTTCCAGCACATTCTGTCCTGGCAGGCAAGGAATGACCCAGCTGTGCCAACATCCTACAATGTGCTGTACAGACACCACGGGCAAGTCTAGAAAATAAGGCACAAATTCAGCTTTTGCTGTTTATTGGCTCAAATAGGAGGCAGGTGGTGGAGTGCCCAGCCCTGGAGGTGTCCAAGGCAGGCCTGGCCATGGCACTCAGTGCTCTGGGCTGGGGGACAAGGTGGGGATGGGGCACAGGGGGATCCAGGGGCTGGGAGGGCTTTTCCAGCCTCAGGGATTTTGGGATTCTGTGAAAGTACTAAGGCTGAGGTTTTCTTCCTTTTTCACTGAGAAATGCTTTCCTCCCACTCCTGTGCTTTCTTGTATCAGAATTGAGATTGTTTTGTCCTTTTTGACAGGAACTCGAACTGGACGACTGCCAGGCAGTGCTCAGGCACTGCTCAGCTCTCCTGTGACCTGACAGAGGATTTCAAACACAGGTCCTCTGAGTACTATGTATTTGTTCAGAGCATCAAAGGAACTGAGGTGTTCAATTCTTCCATGCTGCATTTTGCACCATTAAGTCAGAGTAAGTTCTCTGTCTGCATTTCTCATTTTAGAGGTTTTTCTCAACAGCTGATGTATAAATTATATTCTGCCTTTGCAGTGAGACTCCAAACTAACTGCATCAGTGGCTATTTGTATATGATATAAGTCACTTACAGACCTAATTTTTTTAAAATTAGTGGCTGATAATAGTTCTGATAAACGGACTCAAAATTAAAAATCTGGTTTTGAAATAAAATACACAAATGTAAATATAAAGGAAATAGCATTGTGTCAAGTATTGCCAAACAGAAAGTAAAAATCTCTGAAATGCAAAAGGTACATAACTTAAAAATAAAACCACATTGGTTTTATGTCTTGGAGTAGTGCCATAAAAGTTGGAGGACCATGGAGGAGAAACAGGTCACGTTCCCCTGAATTCAGCCCAGAGGCAGCTGCTGTGGCCACTTCCAGGCTCAGAAATAAGGGCAGATTGGAGGGGATGGGAGAATGGGCACAAGGGGAACTGAGGGGGTTGAGAACATCCCTGAGGAGGAGACCTGGAGCCCCTCAGCACTGGGTTTGGTAGAAAGGATTGGACAAGGGGGAATGGCCTTAGGCTGGAGGAGGGCAGGGACAGATGGGATACTGGGAATAAATTCTTCCCTGGGAGGGTGGGCAGGCCCTGGCACAGGTTGGGCAGAGAAGCTGTGGCTGCCCCTGGATCCCTGGAAGTGTCCCAGGCCAGGTTGGACGGGGCTTGGAGCAGCCTGGGCTGGTGGAAGGTGTCCCTGCCCATGGCAGGGGTGGCACTGGGTCCATCCAACCTTTAAGGTCCCTCCCAGCCCAAAGCAGTCTGGGATTCTATTCTGTGCATTAACCTCAGCTTTTCTCCCAGGTAGATACAAGGGTCAGATCTCTGTAAAGCTGAAACAAAACCTCTGACCCCTTTCTGCTTCTTCCCTCCCCCCTACTCCTTTCTGCATTTAAAATCTAGTCCTGTGGGAAATTATAATTTGACTCTGGGAGTTAAATGTTCCAAGACCTTGTGGAATTCCAGCAGTGGCATACTCTGGAATCTTAGTCAGCTCCATGTCCATCACCAAAATACAGTTGGCACTGAATATATAGTGTATAGTTTTTCCATCATTTTTCTCCTTTCTTGTTTTTCCATAGCATTCCTGGGACCACCAGAAGTTAATATCACTCCTTGTCTAAACTGCATAAATGTCACCATGAAGCTGCCAACCTCTCACTACAGAGAAAAGGGAAAGCTGCTCTCTTTAATTGATATCTATGAAGAGCTTGATTATGAAATAACACTGAAATCACAAGATGGAGAGCATAAGGTAAAGAACATTGGGGGTTATTTGTGCTTTAGGGGAGAAACACAGAAAGCAGAAAACGGTGAGCAAATATGGGAATGGAAGCAAAAGAAAACATAGAAATGTGTGTTCTTAGAAGAAAGACAGTGGCCAGCATAATCTTCTACCACAGAGTAGCAGGTGTGGGAGAGCGACCAGGGATCTCTTTTTAGGCCAAACTGACTTTAAAACATTGACTTTCATTGGCAGACACCACGGGAGAAAACCACTGCAGAAGTTTTTAGTACTGTCATTGAGGAATTGTATCCAAGTAGGAATTACTGTGTGTCTGTTGTGGTCACTGCATCCCTGAACAAACGTTACATCCCTTCACCCTGGAAATGTGTCCCTTCAGACTCGATGGCTCGACCAGGTAACTGTGCTGGCAGGGGTTGTGTGGATGGATGGTGGGGGGAGATTTACAACTCAGTCATGGACAATGATAGGGGATATAGAATCCTGGAATATCCTCAGCTTGGAGGGACCCCCAAGGATCACCCAGTGCAAGCCCTGCCCTGCCCAGGACACCCCAACACTCCCCCTGTCCCTCAGAGCGTTGCCCAAACGCTCCTGGAGCTCTGGCAGCCTTGGGGCCGTGCCCACTGCCCTGGGGAGCCTGGGCAGTGCCAACCACCCTCTGGGGGAAGAACCTTGTGCTGAGCTCCAAGCTGAGCCTGCCCTGGCACAGCTCCAGCCCTTCCCTGGGTGCTGTCCCTGTCCCAGCCAGCAGAGGTGGGACCTCAGTGTCAGAGAGAAAGGACCTTCCAAGAGATAAACCTTGTGAGGATTTGGAAGTGAAACACAAAACCCCATCCACCCTGGGGCAGTAAATCTCTTGGCAGTCCTGTGAGCCACACAAACCTCCGCTCACTGCAAAATGATCAAAGATGGTGTCATTTCTTTTTTAACTCCTGAATCTAATTTGAGACTTGGTCTTGTTTTGACTTTGACTTTCAGAGGTCCCTTCTAACCAAAATTATTCTCCATAGCTGTTGTGAATGTGGAGTATGAAATGTGGTCATGGTGCACTTCATGCACTTGTGTTTATTTATTGTTTTTCCTCCCCAGGTTATCATGTAGCTTCAGTGGCAGGTGCTGTGTGTGTCTCACTGGTAATAGCTGTTGCCTTGAAGTGTCTGCATGCAGGAGGTTATTTTCTTCAAAGCAAATCACTGCCACGTGCCTTGGTATGTAATAATTCTGGGATTTAACCTTTCTGGTTGGGAGGAGAAATTTTACCTCCTGGGATTTCTAATCCTGTGCATTAGGTACAAGTTTTGTAAGAACACAGAATGTTTACTTTGCAGTTTGTTTAATTTATCTCTGTCAAAGATAATCTGCAGGCTGCTAAGCCTTGTCTGATCTTAAAAACAAATATTCAGTCTTTCTCAAGACCAATTTTTTCTCCTTCTGTGACGTTACCAACAGAGATAGAGAATCACCCCCTACTACTGGTACTTGTCAGGAATACCCTGCCCAGTTCTGGTCCCCACAGCACAGCAAAGATGTGGACAGACCTGAGAGGGTCCAGAGCAGGGCCCTGGGGGTGGAGAACCTGCCCTGGGAGGAGAGACTGGAGGAGGAACTGGGCCACTGTTTTGAATAAAATAATCACTCTTTTTCTGTGACCAAGTGTTCTGGCACTTGAGGAAGCCAGTCCTGAGCCAGCTAATCTTTTATTTTCATAGGAGGGACTGAACTGCCACTAGATCTCAAGCAGAAATGTTTCGATCCATCTTTGCTTGCTTGTTTTATTTTTATAGCCTTAGAAAGAGACCAATTGATTTTACATTTAATTCTGTGGGGTTTTTCAGCATAAATATTTTCCATTTTCTGCAAACATACCCAGAGCAGGTTGGTCTCACCTTTTTCTAAGATTTTTTGCCTTTTTTCTGTTCTCTGCTGTATCATTACCTTCACGTCCCTAAAAGTGCTGAACATGACTTTGCCAAGCAGTGTCTAAGGTTTATTTTTTTATTTACTGTCAACATTTTCCCTCAATGCTTTGGATATTAAATAATCCTCTGAAGTGCAGGGGGAAAATGGGGCTTGGGATGTTAAAATTGCTTCAAATAGTAATTTCTAGAGGACAATAAAATGGATCAGGTAGCTGCAAGAGCTCAGAGAGATTTGCAAGACTTGGCTCAGGTTAAAGATGTGTTTCTAAAATGAGCTTTTAGTCTTAGAAAGAGACCTCAGAAATTAGAATTAAATCATTACATACCTGACATTGGCACTATTGTCATTTGTTTCTGTGGCTGCCCAGTGTGCCTGGATTTGTAGTGAAGGCTGTCGTGTTTTGGCTTTAAACTGAAACAGAGTAGGGTTAGATGGGGGATATTGGGAAGGAATCCTTCCTGGGAGGGTGGGCAGGCCCTGGCACAGGTTGCCCAGAGAAGCTGTGGCTGCCCCTGGATCCCTGGAAGTGTCCCAGGCCAGGTTGGACGGGGCTTGGAGCAGCCTGGGCTGGTGGAAGGTGTCCCTGCCCAGGGCAGGGGTGGCACTGGATGGGCTTTGAGGTCCCTCCAACCCAAACGAGTCTGGGATTCTGTGATTTTCAGGAATGGAGAAGAGGGAACAATCCTAAATGCCCTGAACTCTGTGGAAAAACCCAAAAACGTGGCACAGAAGGAATCATTTGTTTGACCACCTCATGACTGGGGGTGTTGTTGCTCATGTTTTCCTGTGCACAGCTGCAGGTTTGGCTGATGTTTTTAATTCCCTTTACTCCTTTAGGAGTCCATCAGGAGGTTGGTCTACCTGTCCTGGATATTCCCATCAGAAGAAGTAGACTCTGTGGAGGTCATCCCCAGAGAGGTTAAAGCCAAGGCTGGCGGGTGCGGTGGCAGCAGCAGTGACAGCGACGGCGAGGACAGTGACAGCAGCGCCCCGTGGGACCACAACTACACGAGGAGGGAGGTGCTGAGCAGAGCCCCCCCTGCCCCTGGCACGCCACACCTGCAGTACTCAGAGAACAGGCCCTGTGAGGGCACCCAGGCCACTGACCCCGCACCCCCTGAGCCAGCGGGGGCTGAGGAGCACACGGACCTGGCGGGAGACGAGGACCTGGCAGGAGACACAGACTCTGGTGGGGAGTTGCTCAGCCCCTTCCCCGAGCTCAGCTGTCACTGCCCTGCCGGGCAAAGCAGCACCTGCTTTACCATCAACCTGCAAACCGTGCTGCTGGGGAGCCTGGAGGAGTGCGGGGACAGCCCTGCAGCGGCTCTGCCTGCCCCGCAGCTCGAGGGGCACTGGCAGTGTGCCCATGCCCTGGAAGCAGAGGCTGACACAGGGGACTGTGCAGAAAGCACCAGGTGCTGATGACTTCCAGGAGTGGCAGAACTCTCCTTCAGAGGAGGAAAGCGACTCATCTGAGTCAGACACGGACCAAGTAACGGGATACATGAGGAGGAGGTGAATGAGGGAGAGCCACTGATGCTTTACAGCATACAAGTCAGTATTGTCCAACTTTTATTTCTGGACTAAACATACAGATCTTGTCTTCTTATCAACGTTCTGTGAGTGTGGACCTGCCCTACAGACAGAGCTGGAGAAGAGAAGGCTCCAAGGAGACCTGAGAGCCCCTTCCAGGGCCTAAAGGGGCTCCAGGAGAGCTGGAGAGGGACTGGGGACAAGGCATGGAGGGACAGGACACAGGGAATGTGGGAGGGTTGGATGGGATACTGAAAAGGAATTGCTGGCTGGGAGGGTGGGCAGGCCCTGGCACAGGTTGGGCAGAGAAGCTGTGGCTGCCCCTGGCCAAGTGTCCAAGGCCAGGTTGGACGGGGCTTGGAGCACCCTGTGCTGGTGGAAGGGTGGTCTCTCAACCAGACCACTTTTTCAATTTTTTTTTTCTTTAGCCCTGCCACTGGATTTCTCTGAAACCTGTTTTGCTGGATGTTTTGCTGTATTTTTGTAGAGAAAGCAGATGAAGGGAAATAACAAAGGGCAGAGAATACTTACAGTATTACAAAAGAGTGAATCGAGGCATTAAATACATTTTTTATATCATTTTGTGCAAGTATTGAATACTCTTAAAATATTTTTATGGCATTTAAAAGTTCCTGTGCTGTACAGTCCTACTTAACATTTGTACTTCATAAATAGGACTTTTTTCATATTCCTGCCTGAATTTTTCCTGTGGCTCCTACTTGCCTTAGAAAACCTGAGTTAGCCTGCTATGTCTTTACTCCTTGTGTAAAGGGTTTTAGCTATTGCATAGCTGGAAAAAACCCCACTTTTTTCACTTCGTGTTGATCTCTTAGGTCCTACTTTTCTGCCCACAAGCAGTTTCTGGCTGCCATGGCTGGCAAATGGATTAAACCCTGACAAAAAACTGGTATTTTCAGTAATAGCTTGAGGAAGAACCCTTTCTTACCCTGAGTAATAAAACAGCCCCTCCCTTCCCTTTGCTGGGCGGGATGTTCTGGTAGAAGTTCTCTTTGTCAGGCACTGCAGAGACAGGACAAGGATTAAAGGGTTCAGACTGAAAGAGGGGAAATTTAGGTGAGAAATTGGGAAAAAACCCTTCCCAGGGAGGGTGGGCAGGCCCTGGCACAGGGTGCCCAGAGAAGCTGTGGCTGCCCCTGGATCCCTGGAAGTGTCCAAGGCCAGGTTGGACGGGGCTTGGAGCAGCCTGGGCTGGTGGAAGGTGTCCCTGCCCATGGCAGGGGTGGAATTAAATGATCTTTAAGGTCTCTCCCAACCCAAACCACTCCATGGTTCTCCATGTAGGGGTGTGGGCATCTTTGGTGGGGTCCAGACCCTGCAGGTAGAAGATAAAGCTTTCCTCGGGAAACATTTGCAGTGGGAAATTCATTCCACGTCACGTTTGACTCTGTGTCTGTGTATGTTTTATTTATTTTCCCACTTCATGCTGACCTCCCCTCTCCTATCCCCGCTGCCAGGCCTCAGAGCTGCAGATAACACGCTGTATCAGCGCCCACCAGCTCCCCGCTCCCGCCCGGCGTCCTTCGGCAAGGGAACGGGGCTTTGGAAAGGCGGAGGGGACCCGCACGGCTACGGAGTTGGGGCAGCCCCGGTGTCTGAGGGGGAACCCCCGGTGTCTGAGGGGGAACCCCCGGTGTCTGAGGGAGCCCCGGTGTCTGAGGGGGAACCCCCGGTGTCTGAGGGAGCATATCCCCGGTGTCTGAGGGAGCAGTCCCGGTGTCTGAGGGGGAACCCCTGGTGTCTGAGGGAACATCCTCGGTGTCTGAGGGAGCATCCCCGGTGTCTGAGGGAGCAGTCCCGGTGTCTGAGGGAGCAGCCCCGGTGTCTGAGGGAGCAGCCCCGGTGTCTGAGGGAGCAGTCCCGGTGTCTGAGGGAGCAGTCCTGGTGTCTGAGGGAACATCCTCGGTGTCTGAGGGAGCAGTCCCGGTGTCCCAAGGGAACGCCCGGTGTCCCAGGTGAGCTCCCGCCCGGGGAGCCGCCGTGCCCGCCGCCCGCCCCGCCCCGCCGGGAAGCGGAAGGGTTTCGGGGCGGCCCCGCTCCCGCAGGAATGGCGCGGCGGCCCCGCCGCTGCTGAGGGAGGCGCCGGGACCCGCCATGGCCGCCGCCCTCAGGGGCGCGCTGTTCGTCGGGCTCCTGCTGTGCGGTGAGTCCGCCGGGCCGGAGGGAGGGCCCGAGGGACGGAGCGACCTCCCGGTCCCGCCTCGCCGCGGGGAAGGGGGTGGCGGTGCCCCGGGCGAGGCGGGAGCCAGGGGCGCCTGAGCCGGCGGGGTCGCCGCTGCCGTGAGGAGCCGAGAGCCCCGGAGCGGATGTGCCCTGTGGGGACAGCAGGGACAGCCCGGGGTATCTGCAGGGCACCCAGGGGCGTTATCGCCCCGCGGTTCTGTCCGTGCTGGGAAGCGGTCCTGCCTGGGCTGGGACACGGGGCGAGTCCCGGCCGGGGAAGGCGCGTAGGGGGGAGAAGCCGCACTCCGGGGGCTGCGTGTGACTGTACGGGACAGGGCTCGGTGTGACTGTACGGGACAGGGCTTGGTGTCACTGTAGGACAGCGACTGTCCCTGACAGGAGCGTGGGGCCGGCTCTGCTCCCAGGGAACAGGGACAGGAGGAGAGGGAACGGCCTCCAGCTGTGCCAGGGGAGGCTCAGGTTGGCCAGGAGGAGGAATTTGTTGCTGGCAAGGGTGGTCAGGCCTTGGCAGGGGCTGCCCAGGGAGGTTTGGAGTGCCCAGCCCTGGAGGTGTCCAAGGCAGGCCTGGCCGTGGCACTCAGTGCTCTGGGCTGGGGGACAAGGTGGGGATGGGGCACAGGGGGATCCAGGGGCTGGGAGGGCTTTTCCAGCCCCAGGGATCCTGAGATTCTGTGCACAAACCTTAAACCCTCTGAAGTATTTCTTCAAATCTTGCCATGTCCCCGTTGCGCAATAAAAGAGTTTACCTGGACTTTGTTCAGGTAGGAAGTGCCATCAGGGAAGGGAGCCTTGCCTTTTCCTGGGAATTTACATGCCTATCTCAGACCTCATCCTGAAAGCAGGGGCAGTGCTCCAAGAAAGCTGGAGAGGGACTGGGGACAAGGGACTGGAGGGACAAGACAAGGGGGAGTGGTTTCCCACTACCAGGGGACAGGGTTAGGTGGGGTATTGGGAAGGAATTCCTAGCTGGGAGGGTGGGCAGGCCCTGGCACAGGTTGCCCAGAGAAGCTGTGGCTGCCCCTGGATCCCTGGAAGTGTCCAAGGCCAGGTTGGACAGTGGCTTGGAGCAGCCTGGGCTGGTGGAAGGTGTCCCTGCCCATGGCAGGGAGTGGGATGAGATAATCTTTAAGGTCTCTCCCAACACAAACCCTTCTGTGTTTCTGACTTCTGTGTTTGTGATGTGCAGTGTGTTTGAGTTGATTTGTTGGGTGCAAGGTCAACGCTGTAGGGATTGAGGCTGAAATAGTTTTTATTTAAGCTGGGTTTAGATTTGAAACTCCTATCTGCCCAAGGTGGGTAAATGACACGTTCATTTCATTTATTTCTGCAGCCCTTGGGGACATGGTTTAGGGACTGGATGACCTTAAAGGTCTCTTCCAACCTGGATTCTGTGAACTGTAGACACAAACACTGTGTTATTTATCTCACAACACCTGTCATCAGGTTTGACACCTGTGACACGTAAGGACTGAACTCATCTGGGGTTTGTTTGCCTTGCTCATTTGCGTTGCAATAACGAGCCAGAGTCTCTTCTATTTCAGTTTTAATACCAGAAATTATTTAAAGATCATTAAATCATGATAGTAATGGACTGTTCATCGATACTTTACACTATTTTAGGGGTTCTTTTATTCAGTTCCAAGCAAAGAAAACAACTGTTCTTGTCACTTGTGAATAGTGCTGATTAATGATTATTGTATTTAATAACTCTTACCTTCAAAGATGTTTCTGGTTTATCTCTGTTTATCATTCCCCACACCCTGTTATTCCCATCTCAGGGAGAGTTCATGCCCTGAGCGTTGGGCATTGCCAGGTCAGCCATGCACAGTAAATGATGGTGTCATAAAGACTTACTGGAAGTCGCTGCTGCTGGTAATTTGTTTGTGTTGCATAAGCTGAGAGGGCACGAGAGGCACGAGGATGTAAGTTAATCTATGGAGGTCTGATTCTAAGCAAGCATCTGAGGCAGGAGGCTGCAGTTAAAGCTTGGGTGACTGCTGGAGGAACTGAAAGTTTGTTTGTTTGGGTTGCTCCCACAGTGGCTGGAAGGGTGCCAAGGCCCAGGAACGCAAGGATTACCTCAGTCAATCTGCAGAGCACTCTGCAGTGGGACGCACCGAGGGTCCCCAAAGGGAATATCACTTACACTGTCCGCTCCAAGAGGTGGGTCTGGGGGGTTGTGCTTTCCTTAATTCACCTTTTACAGCTCTGTGTGTTTGTGATTTGTTTTCTCTTCAGAGGATGATCAGGAACGGTCCCTTTGTTTTAGCTTGTGAGAGGCTTCTCTGCTGAGCTAAGAGCAGGGCAGAGGCATTTTCTGTGCACTCACACCCAAGGCAGCTTTGGACCTTTTAGTTTTGGAACCAGAAACATCTTTCAAGAATGGATGTCATTCACTCTGCGTGTGGTTTATTGTGTAGCTGTTACCTGTGACTCAAGAGACTGGGTCCTGCTGAGCATTTGCTCCTTCCCTGACCTCTCAGATGGAGCCACCCAGTGCCACCCTTGCCATGGGCAGGGACACCTTCCACCAGCACAGGTTGCTCCAAGCCCCGTCCAACCTGGCCTGGGACACTTCCAGGGATCCAGGGGCAGCCACAGCTTCTCTGCCCAACCTGTGCCAGGGCCTGCCCACCCTCCCAGCCAGCAATTCCTTCCCAATATCCCATCTATCCTTGCCCTCTGGCAGTGAGAAGCCGTTCCCCCTTGTCTTGTGCCTCCATCCCTTGTCCCCAATCCCTCTCCAGCTCTCCTGGAGCCCCTTTGGACACTGGGAGGGGCTCTCAGGTCTCCCTGGAGCCTTCTGTTCATGTTTAGCTTAAAGAAGGTTTTTCTGGGTTTTGGTAGCCATTACTTTTTGATCACTTCCTCCCCAGGTGGGCTTTTGATGCAAACCAGAAAGAATATCATGTATTAAACACCATATAATATGTTCACCAAGGCCAGGTCGGCCAGGGCTTGGAGCACCCTGGGCTGGTGGAAGGTGTCCCTGCCCATGGCAGAGGGTGGGACTGGGTGAGCTTTAAGGTCCCTCCCAACCCAAACCTTCTGTGACTCTGTTCTCTAAACGGTTCCTGGTCACTTGTCAGGCTCTGTTTCCTCTGACTTCTCCATATCTGCACATCTCGGAGACAGCTCTGAACAATTCCCGTCTGGGCAGCAGTGCCTTGCTCAGTGACTTGGCTGAATGTTTGCAGACTTCTCTGATCACTCCTGTGTGGTGAATCGAGTGTTGTAACCGCTGCCAGGAAAGGGGCACCTGTTCACTGAATCACAGTGTTAACCTCTACTTCATCCCAGATTTACAGATGCACGTGAAATCCTTCGCGCGGTTCTGGCACCCCGGGTCTGTATTTTCGTGTTCACGAGTCCGGACTGGCTGTATCAAGAGAGGTGCTGCTTTTGCAGCCAGCTGGGAGGGAGGCCAGCTGCGATGCAGACCCTCCACGCAGCTTGTTTCTCCTCCCTGCAGCGTGCACTTCCCGGGAGCGGCGTACGAGACGCTGGGGAGCGGGCTGAGCGCGCCGCGGTGCGACGTGTCCTCGCTGCCCGCCTACGGCCACCACGAGCTGCAGGTGCGCGCCGAGCTGGGCCAGCACCGCTCGCCCTGGGTCACCCTCCGCTTCAGGCCCTTGGACCACAGTAAGGCTCTGCTGCCCTGCCCCCTCTGCTGCCTGCTCTGGGCACCCCGAGGGGAGCTGCAGGTCCCTTCTGAACTGAACCCCACTGGCAATCAGAGCTGTAGCGCTTGCAGACAGAAAAGCAGAGCAGGTTCACTGTTATGTGTTGGCGACCTGAAATCTCTTTTGAGGAGATTTGTCTAATAAAGTATCTTTCCCCCCCCTAAAAATAAGGAGCATTTCGATTTTCCAGCCGGGGAGAGGTTGTCTTTGAGGAATCATACTTCCTATATATCTAAATTAACTGGCCTCCTTCCTTCCTCATTGCTTTTCCAGGCAAAATGCTTTCTTTTAGTTTTTTTTCTTAATTCAAAAGACCCCAGTTTCACAGGGAAAGATTAATTTTCAGTCAAGGAATCTTGCTTGCCCAATATGGACAATATATACACAATATTGCCATTCTCTTAGTGAAGCTCTACAGTCTTCTGGCAGGGATGATTTAGGCTTTGCCTTGATTAGAGTGCACAGCACAGATGTTAATTGTGTTGCTGAGGTTGGGAGTGAGAGTGGGTTTTACCACTGATTATCCTGTGGTTTGTACATTCTTACTCTAATCATGAACAAAAACAAAAATATTTTAGATTATTTAGTTAATGTTACCCAGTGCTTTTTTCTTCTCACTGCCATTAATACAAAATCCCACTGGAAGCTTCTCAGCCTGGAGAAAAACCTTTAGAAATATGGTTTTTAATTGCCCCACCTCCACTTGCTTGAATTTCATCATTCTTGGATTTCCGAGTGGAATTTTACGGTTAACAGCTTTGTCTTTCCAAAGGTTGGTTATCTTTTAAAAGAGATAATTGTGACACAATTCAACGTGCCCAGAACAGAGGCACTGAAACACGGTGTGGAGAAATTACAGTTCCAAAGGTATAAACTACAACCAGAAGAAAATGCCATCAGAAGTGTGGGTGGGTTCTCAGAGTGGAGAGCAAACCAGTAAATCATTAACAGAGCTGTTGTTTGACATAGATTTGAAAGAGCTTGTGGCCTTGAGAGCCGGCTTGGCTTTGGGAAGGCAGATTAATCCTAAATGGGAAGGTGAGGGATTGAAACTATTGGAAGGAGAGCCTGGGAGCCCTGGGCAGCTGGGAAAATCTCCAGGGAGGGCATGAGGGTTGTCAGTGCTGCCACAGCTGCTCTGAGAGGGTGCCATGACACAGACATGGGAGATTCTGTTTCTGTGACTCCTCCCTGTGCTGGGCTGGCCTGAGCTGCTGGACAGAGCTCTGCAGAGAAGGACCTGGGGGTCCTGGGGGTGACAAGGGGACAGTGATCCATCAGGGTGCCCTGGGGGTGACAAGGGGACAGTGATCCATCAGGGTGCCCTGGGGGCACAATGGGGTCCTGGAGAGCATTGGGAAGAGCACTGGAGCAGGTCAGGGAGGGGATCCTGCCCCTCTGCCCAGCCCTGGCAGGCACATCTGCAGTGCTGTGTTAGTGCTGGGCTCCACGGGCCAGGAAGGACAAGGAGCTGCTGGAGAGGGTCCAGGAGGGCCATGGGGATGATGAGGGGTCTGGAGCATCTCCCTGGTGAGCAGAGGCTGCGGGAGCTGGGCCTGGTCAGTGTGGAGAAGGGAAGGCTCAGAGGGGATCCATCAATCCGTACAAATATCCCCAGGGGCTGTCAGGGGACGGTCCCACACTCTGCTCAGTGGTGCCAGTGACAGGACGAGGAGCAATGGCCAGAAACTAAAACACAACAAGAGGAAAAACTTCTTTGCATGGAGGGTGGCAGAGCCTGGAACAGCTGCCCAGGGAGGCTGTGGAGTCTCCCCTCTGGAGACATTCCAACCCCACCTGGACATTTCCCTGTGTCACCTGTGTCACCAGGTGACCCTGCCTGGGCAGGGGGATTGGACTGGATCATCTCCAGAGGTCCCTGCCAGCCCTGACCATTCTGTTACTATTTCTGCTGGTGCTTCCCTAAGGAATTCCACACTGTGTGGTAGGGTTAGCCTGGCAAAACCAGGGGCACCAAGACCGTCCTCATGTTATTTGTCCTGAGTTCAAGAACATATTCATGAGCACTGTAGGAATTTACAGCCCTGTGATCCACCTGACATCTAGAGGCAACCAAGGCAGTTTGCTGGAATTACAGGGGATTTATGGAATTATGTTATGATGAAATAATTTAGGTAGTGCCACAGTGCCATAACAAGGACAAGCCATTTACAGGAGACAAGGACATAATCTTCATTTTAAGGAACACAGTCAGTAGCACATGCAGCAATAATTCAAGGGTTTCTGGTTTTCAAAATAATCACAGTGGAAAAAAACCACATTAAAACACTTTACTAGAGGGTCTCCTCAGGAAAAACAGATGTTGTGACAGCTTGGCCCAGAAGGAGAAGTGAGTAATAACCATGGAAATAGTCCTTCCTCTCCCAGGAGTCACCACAGCTGGCAAAAGGGAACTGAGCCAGTCCAGGGTATGGGGAATGGACTCTGTGTTGGTGTCTGTTGTTTAACCACAACAAAATAACCCCCTTTCCAAGCCTCTCCATAAGGAAAGGATTTCTTTATGCCTGACCCGTGAAAAGACATCGCTTTCTTCCAATAGACAAAATTATTTCAAATGTGAATCATCATGGATTGTGTAAAAGTGTCAGATTGAAATGAATGTGAAGCTGAACTCCCCTCTTTCTTCTCTTCCTCCCCCCAGCAGTGATTGGGCCCCCTGAGGTGACGGTGAAGTCGGAGTCTGGGGCCCTGCACATGAATTTCTCCGGCCCCTTTGCTGAGCACAAGCAGGAGAAGTGGCCTCTGTGGCAATACTATGGCCCCTGGAGCTACAGGATCCTCTACTGGAAGAAAGGCACAGACCTGACCTCTGCTCCCAGGGTACTGGGGCTTTGATCCATGCTTTTCCTGGTAAAACACCATCCTGGGGAGGCTCTGAAAGCTCCTGGAGGCCCTGGCACAGGCTGGGCAGAGAAGCTGTGCCTGCCCCTGGATCCCTGGAAGTGTCCCAGGCCAGGTTGGAGCAACCTGGGCTGATGGAGGGTGTCCCTGCCTTGGGACAGGGGTGGCACTGGATGGGCTTTAAGGTCTCTCCCAACCCAAACCAGTCTGGAATTCTGGGATTCTAAAGTAAAAAATGGATCTCTACTAATTACAGTGTAATGAAGCCCAGACACTGCAACAATGACTCAGAGCACAGGGCAGGTGGCTGTGTAGTTAAACAGCGTGGATGGAATTTTCTGCTTCCAGAATTACAAAATCTGCTACATCATGCCAGTTTATTCCCTCTTCAGGAAACTTTGGGCTTTGAATCCCCCAAAATGGGTGAGGCCTTACATTAACTGTGCTCGCCTGCACTCTTCCATTTCTGCCTGTTGTAATTCACTTTCTGCCTCTCATGAACAGTCTCTTCCACAGGCAAATGTGTTACTCAGCCCAAAAGGCTTCTCCATACACAGTGCATGGAGAAAGATCATAAATAATACATTAATTACAGGATCACGTGTTCTATTACAGGAAAACAGGAAGCCTTAGACCAGCAGACACCAGTCATAGTCTAATTGGTGCTTTTCACATCAGCACAGTTTTCATAGAATGGGGCTCCACTATGTATAATTCTGGTATGTAATTGTTGCCCTGCCCAATTCTTTGACATTCAGTTCCAGAAAATGAGGAAACATCATTTCCCAAAAAGCAGACTTTTTTTTGCAGTTCCCAGGTTTGCAGTTCCCATCCTCCTGGAAAGGAAGGTATTTCTGCCTGTGGGATGCAGACTCAGAGGGATGTACCAGAGGAAGCAGGACCTGCAGTCAGGATCTGCGCTAGTAACACTCCAGGGGGGAAATCTGTGATTTTCTGGGGATCAAAGAAGCAAAAGGCAGAGGCTGTGTAACTTCACAGTTTATCTTTGAAGTGTGTGATTGATTGCTCAGAGATTGAAACCTGGCTACAGAGTGTCCTGGGGCTGAGAAAGGATCTGTTACTACACAACAGGACATGTTGTAGGGACTCCTTCCCCTGCAGTCACAGGGACATGACTAGCTGTGCCTCTAAACAGCAGGTTCTGTCAGTCATCTCACAGCCTCCAGAAGCCTTTTTCTCTCTTTTTTTTGGTTTTCCTTTTGTCTGGATCACAGAATCGCAGAATGGTGAAGGCTGGAAAAGCCCTCTGAGATCACCAAGTCCAACCCTTGACCCAGCACTGCTGTGCTCACCCCTACACCGTGTCCCCAGGTGCCACATCCACACGTTTTTGAGCACTTCCAGGGATGGTGACACAACCATTTCCCTGGGCAGCCTGTGCCAGGGCTTGACAACTTTTTTGGTGAAGAGATTTTTCCTACTTTAGTTTCCCATCTAAAGCTCCCCTGGCACAGCTTGGGGCCGTTTCCTCTTGTCCTGTTCACCCACCCCACTTGCTGCCTCTCCAGTTAGATGATGTTTGTCTGTAGCAGTGCTCTCAGTTGATCTCATCTGCTTGGGGGACAGTTTCTGTCTGCAAATGTATCTCATTTATCTCATTAGCCTGAAACTTCATTACTGCTGCTGGAAACAGCCAGAAGGCCAGTGGTGAGAGTGGTTTCACAGTACTTTTGTAACTGTAATTGTAATTCCTTAGCTAATTCCTTAGCTATTCCAGTCACTGCTCTCCTGCCCTTCCCATTTGGTGTGTTCTCTGTCTGCAGGTCTCTCACCTGGATACCAAACACAGCTCTGCAATCCTGTCCCAGCTGGAGCCATGGACGTGCTACTGTGTCCAGGTGCAGGTGGTGATTCCCGAGTGGAACAAGACAGGGGAGCTGAGCGGGGAGCTGTGTGAGAAGACCACCCACAATGGTAATGCCTGGGGCGGCACAGGGGGAGCTGGAAATCATGGAATTACACACAGGGTGGGGCTGGGTTGGGAGGGACATTAAAACCCATCTCATTCTCCACCAGCCCAGGTTGCTCCAAGCCCCATCCAGCCTGACACTTCCAGGGATCCAGGGGCATTCCACAGGGAAAGTGATAATTTGAAAGTAATTCCTCAGAAATGGATAAGTGCAGTTTTAATCACGTTCCCCTTGTCTCTTGCAGGTGTAACTCCTGTGTGGCTCGTTGTGACAGTTCTCATAGGATCCATGTTGGCCGTTGCCACAGCAGTCCCCGTTTGTTTCTTCTCCTTCTTTTATCTAGTTCGACTCACCAAACATGTTTTCTGCCCTGCATATATTTTCCCACAACACCTGAAAGAGGTTTGTTTTCTGCCTAACACACGGAAATCGGCCTTTTCAGCAGAACCACTTGCTTTTCCAAGGCTCTTGCTGCCAAAACCTTTAGACCTTCTTTTATTTTGCCCTGTTCCATTTGCACCTGATCTGCAAACTGCAATTTGTAATAAGCAGCTTTATGTGGCTCAGAAACAGGATGTTTTCCTTCATTTTAAAGTGAGAGAATGACAGGTGTCAACTTCAGTTCCTCATTTAACTAGTGAGCCACTGAGATCTCTGTCTCTCCTGTCTCATTTTGGGCTTAAAATAGCACATTTGTTCTCCTGTCACAAGTGCAGTAACGAGTTTTAACTTCAGCAGAGAGTGCAGGGAAGTAAACCTGGGGCAGGCCACGTGTACCAGAGACACCTGGGCTAGGGCAGGTGGTGGAACCAGAGCAGCTTTAAGGTCCCTTCCGACCCAAACCATTCTGGCACTCTCTGATTGTCTGACGTCTGGAAATTCCAGCTGAAAGGAGGCAGTGAACATTCACCTGGCCACTGACGCTGTTACACACAGAGAACACAAACAGGGATGTGCAGTGTTGCCTGCGCTGCTCTCATTCCAGCCTGGGCTCTCCCGAGGTTCCTGCAGCTCCTCCGGGGCTTTCCCTGGGACTCAGCCCGGGCTCAGCAGCCCCAGGCTCTGCAGCTCACTCAGCACTGGGCTGGTGCTTCAGGCTGAGCACCCACTCAGCACTCAGGAGTTTCATGGAATCCTGGAATCCCGGAATCCAGAACGGTTTGGGTTGGGAGGGACCTTAAAGCTCATCCATCCCAATCCCTTCCACCAGCCCAAGCCTCGTCCAACCTGGCCTTGGACACTTCCAGGGATCCAGGGGCAGCCACAGCTTCTCTGGGAACTTTGTTCCAGCCTCTCCCCACCCTCCCAGGGAAGGATTCCTTCCCAATGTCCCATCTCACCCTGCCCTCTGGCAGTGGGAAGCCGTTCCCCTTGTCCTGTCCCTCCATCCCTTGTGCAAAGCCCTGCACTTTGCTGAAGCTGGAGCTCAGCTCTTGGACTGACAGCTCTGCTCTGATCAAAACAGGATGTGGGGAAATTTCCTTTGCTCACACATTGCTCTAAAGAAAGGGAGGATTTTCACGCTGTGCTGTAGTGGCCAATCCCAGCAATCAAGGGTCAGTTGCACCTAAACTGTGTTTCATCCAAGGCAGTGGTTTCACTACATGAATGTTTGTGATTGCAGGTTAGTGCCAGAACATTTCAAATCACAGTGTGCTAGAAAAATCTGATAGTCCAATAGTAATAATACCTGTGCTTATTTTTTTACTTACACTGAGCAGGGTTCCTGATAGAGCAGCTTGTTTCCTGTGCAAAATTCAATTCAGAATTATTTCTTCTTAGGGCCACAAAGATGATCAGGGGGATGGAGCCCCTCTGCTCTGAGGAAAGGCTGAGAGAATTGGGATTGTTCAGCCTGGAGAAGAGAAGGATCCAGGGAGACCTGAGAGCCCCTGCCAGGGCCTAAAGGGGCTCCAGGAGAGCTGGAGAGGGACTGGGGACAAGGGATGGAGGGACAGGACACAGGGAATGGCTTCCCACTGCCAGAGGGCAGGGATAGATGGGAGATTGGGAAGGAATTGCTGTCTGGGAGGGTGGGCAGGCCCTGGCACAGGATGCCCAGAGAAGCTGTGGCTGCCCCTGGATCCCTGGAAGTGTCCAAGGCCAGGTTGGACGGGGCTTGGAGCAGCCTGTGCTGGTGGAAGGTGTCCCTGCCCATGGCAGGGATGATGGATGAGCATTAAGGTGCCTCCCAAGCCAAAGCAGTCTGGGATCCTGGGATTGTGTACAGTGCAGCACAGGAACAGGCAGGGCCAGCTCCCAGGAGCCAGGAACCTCCTCCACAGCCCCTGGTGGTGCTCAGGCTGCTCCAGCCCGTCCCAGAGCAGGCAGGAGGAGGATTTGTCATCTTTCAGTACCAAAGTGAAGTCATTTTCTCGCTGAACTCCGTGGCCCTGCACATCCCCCTCTTTCACCTTTGCCAAGAGGGTTGTTGTTCAAGGTGACATTTAAAGCGTCACTCTGACGTCTCTGCTCTCTGAGGTGGCACAGACAAGTCACATTTCTTGGAGTTATTTGACAAATCTCTCTGTGAGCTCCTTCCCCTACAGGCAAATCACAGTTTTTAGTGTTTGTTTCAAATCAAACTTGGTATTTGACTTTTTTCAAGAAGTTTCTATCCCAAAGAAGTCATTCACCCCTGGGGTTATTCTTCCAAATAAAGGCACTTCCAGTTTGCTCCCAAGCCTGGAACAGGATGTTAGAAAGGATATAGCACTGTTGCCCCTCTGGGACTTTTGGGGGTTCAGAAAACCAGTGAATATGTGGAAAACAATATCTGTGGTTTAACAGTAGCAGGATTTCTAAGCAAGCAGGATGGTCCAGCCAGTGCAACCGAATTCTCATTTCCTCTTTTTTCCACAGTTCCTGAGCAAATCTCCCACTGCTCCAGAGCCCTTCTTTCCACTCCCACAAGAAGAACATCTTTATGACAAGCTGACTGTCATTCCAGAAGATTCCCAGAATGCCAGGGATGAGGCTGAGGATGAGTCCGAGACACCAGAGCACCCTCAGGGCTCTGAACAAGGAGATTCCGACTCAGGAGTTGGAACAGCTTCAGGGAAGACCTAAATGCTGCTCTGGAGAAGGAAACAAAGGGACTGTTGGGTTCATCTCCTTATTGCTCCTTTCTTCTGGCAGTGAAAACCCACAGACAGAGATAACCATGCCCTGAGCATAGACAGAATAATTTTATTTGTTAATTCAAGTACGAGAAACTTGGCTGTAAATGAGGAACTAAATAATACACAATTTTTGCCACTGCTGGTTGTGGCTCCCTAAGGAGTTGTGGCAATACCTGGCACTGATTATGACATTAAAAAGCAATTTTCATATATATATATATATATAAAAATATATATATATAAAATACTAGTTAACTCTGATGAACTATTTATTGCAAAAACTAAGAGAAATATTTGTAAGAGAAAAGCATATTTTGTAAAGAAAGACCTGATTTATTTTTTCTAATGAAAAATTGTCTGAGTTTTTAAGGATGTCCCCGGAGGCATCATCCTTCTGTTGAATTGTGTTCTACCTGCTGCAAAATTGTGAAGTTTTTAGGATGGGATGAACTGGAGTCTGTGGAAAACTTGGCAGCTAAAGGGGGAGTTAAATTAGGTTTGTTTTATTTATATATTGATGTGTATTCTTAATTACAAAAAAATGTTAATCTGGGGAGCTGGGACTCCCTGGACACAAAGCAGCCTCACCTGCCCAGGGTTATAGCCAAGGTTATATAAATGTTTACATAAAGGTGATACCCAGCACTGGGGCAGAGAGTGGCATTAACTGGGGTTTGTGTGTTATTGCCTCAAAATGAGAGTGAAAAATTAAATGCTGTCAGCAAAAAGTGAAGTGTGTCTGGGTCACTACTCCAAGGGTACAAGTCCTGGAAGTGCCCAAGGCCAGGTTCTCAGAATGCTGCTTCCTCTTCCAGCACAGCCAGCCCTGTGGGACAGGGAGGATTTGTCCCCACACTTTGTGTGTTTGACTTGTCTTTGGTAAGGAATGTTAAAATGGGGTCTGTTAAACAAGGGGGCTGCAGGTCATGTGAGCTCATCCCTAACCTCCTGTGTCATCCCCAGAAAGCCTTCAGAGGGTGAATTCCAAAATGGATTGGAATCAACCTGGAGAAGAGAAGGCCCTGGGGAGACCTGGGAGCCCTTCCAGCCCTTTCCCAGAGCAGGGACACCTTCCCCTAGCCCAGATTGCTCAGAGTCCCATCCAGCCTTGCCTTGAGCACCTCCAGGGATTTAGAGCTCCTAAAAGCAGTCCAGATGTTTTCCTTCAGGCTGACCTGCAGTCAGTTTGATTTGCTTCAGAAGCCTTCTTGTCCCAAAGCAAGTCCTGCCAGGAAATCCTTTCTAGGTGAGAGGCCTTTTCTCCAGCCACAGCTTCCCTGAGAGGCACTGGGGACAAGGTGGCCTCTGGTTGTGCCCACATGGGCTGTGTGGCCCCACAGGCCCCCCTGGTGCCTCTTCAGAGGACAATAATTTAGAGGAGAGTTAATCCTGAGCTGAGCTTGTGGAAACCACGATGGCAATGACTCAATAAACCAGGTGAACTGTGTCAGGATTTAAACTGCAAAGTACAGGTGGAAGCTGCTCCCTCTGGCATGGAGGGTCCTGGCGAAGGGAGGAGGAAAACAGACCAATTTGAAGGCCTGGGAGCTATTGGAAAGCCATTTCCAAATGTATTTGCTGAATTGCAAAGTAGAGAAGAATGATTAAAGAAGAGGGAGATGGGAAAAATTGGGAGAGAAGTCTGGGCTTGTGGAGAGCAAAACAGATCCTAGAGGAGGGCAGTGAGGGAAGGCAGGGAGGGAAGGAACAGTTCAGCCAGTTCCACTCAAGGGAGGGGAGGGAGAACTTCAGGGACAAAGAGAAACCAGGGCCCAGGACCAACCAAGGGACCAGGGACACCCTCCAGCTCCACATCCTTCACCTCTCCATATTGGTGACTTTGGTGTCCTGGAGATTCTGGGAAAGGCTGGCTGGCTGCCAAGACAAATCCAGAAGGAGTCCCACTGAGCAGCAGAGCCAGAAAGGCTTTCAGAAATACCCATCACGAGCTGTAGAAATGGCTTTTAAATTGCTTCTTAACCAGAAGTTCAGGATAAGGATTTGTGGTAGCGATTCACGCCTGTTTTCCTGAGGGGGGTTGGGCAGCAGCCGTTAATTACTTGGCAAAACGGCATTTTCTCGGATTCTTCAGTTACTGAGTAAGTGGTACAGAGGCTCCTTCCCTTGATCCTGTACCGTTGCAAAAAGAAAGGTGGGAAGAGCTGTTTTCCAGGAAGAACTGGGAATAACCCCCAGGCTTGGCTGCCCATCCGTGTGCAATGCACTGGCAACGTTCCCTCCTCGGAGCCCGCGTTCCCCGAAGGGAACCCAGCGTGTTTGGTGGAGAACACTGCGGGCCTGGCACGGTGAGGGTGTGGGAAAGACAGCTGAGACACCCCTGGGGGAGCCTTGCAGAGGAAACCCCGCTCCAGCAGCAGGACCTGCATCGGGGACACCGGGATTTCACCCCAGAGAAAGCACCAGAGCAGGGAAGGCCTTCAATGACTCCCAGTTCTCCCATTTTCCCATCACTCAACTCTCGCCTCTGATTTCTATTCCCTTCTCTCTGCTCCTCTTGTTTATGTGACGCTTTTTGAAACCACACTGGAAGTTCCTCAGAGCAGGGACTTTCTTTTCCAGTCTGTGTGAGGAACGTGGTGACAAAGACGATTGAATTACATCAGGAGCTTTGCACAGGGGCTGGATTTTCAGCCCTGCTGACCTACAGGTGAACCCAGGCTCTGGAACTCCCCCCACAGAGCACAGCTTGCTGATCATAATGGAATTTCAGTCTGGAGAAGAGAAGGCTCCAGGGAGACCTGAGAGCCCCTCCCAGTGTCTTAAGGGGCTCCAGGAGAGTCCCTTGAGACAAGGGCTGGAGGGACAGGACAAGGGGGAATGGCTTTAAGGTGAAAGAGAACAGATTTAGATGGGATGTTGGGAAGGAATTGCTGGCTGGGAGGGTGGGCAGGCCCTGGCACAGGTTGGGCAGAGAAGCTGTGGCTGCCCCTGGATCCCTGGAAGTGTCCAAGGCCAGGTTGGACGGGGCTTGGAGCACCCTGGGCTGGTGGAAGGTGTCCCTGCCCATGGCAGGGGTGGAATTAAATGATCTTTAAGGTCCCTGAGTCCATTTTCTGAGTCTATGACTCTAAATATTATCTATGAAGACGAAAGTTGAAGATATATTCCAACAAAGCATTTTGAAGGTACCAGGTAGGTCTCCACAGGTAAAAAGAGAGGTTGGTGACAGGTTTGCACATCCTTCCAGCCTGTTTGCTGCAAATTCTGGCTCTTTTGTCCTTCAAAACCTCATCACAGGATCCCCAAGGCTGGAAAGGCCCTTCAGGATCATCCACCGTCCCCCAGCACCACCGGAGTCACCCCTAATCCATGTCCCCAAGGGCCACATCCAGACACCTCTGAACACAGAGACAGGGACTCCTCCACCTCCTTGGGCAACTTATTCCAATACCTGATCAGAAAGATAATCCTTCCTGCTCTGCAGCACAGGTAAGGCCTGTGGAGAGCTGGGTCCAGTGCTGGGAACAGTCCTGGGAGGACAAGAAACACACCCTGTGAAGGGAGGTGATCTTGTGTGGGCTGGGAAAGGAAGTCTGAGGGCATCATAATGTGAAAGGCTCCAAAGATGTGAAAAGCTTCTGAAACCAGGAAACTGTTCACCTGTGCTTCGTGTCCATGAGAGAGGTGAAAGCAGCGACACGATGGCAACAAAACAGAGGGAACAGAAAGGTTTCTAATGATGAAACCAGAAAAAAAAATAGAGGAGACATTGCCTGAGAAGGTGGATCTAAAACAAAGTCCACTGGAAGAGGAGGATACAACAGGGCCCTCCTTGGGGCTGCACAGGGACCCACGGGGGCTCCCTGAGGACCTTCCTTCCTGCACCTGTGCTTTTACGCTTTTCAAATGAGATGAAATGCTGTGTTTGCCTCTTTTATCCTGTTCCAGAGCTGACATGAGAAGAAACCAGCAAACCATGTCTCCTTTGTCTGTCAGCCAAAGGCAACAAATCCAGCAGGGCCCGAGTGGCTCAGTTTCCCCCGTCACACGAGTGTTTGGGATTGACACCCACGGCCACCGGCGCACGCATTGTCTTCCCTCTGCCTGTGTGCTGCAGATAGAGCTGCTCCTCACAGCTTGGAGCAGCACCAGCTTCTGTTTCTTTCTTCTATAACGTCACCCAGGCAGTTGTATTCAAACTTACCAGAAGACAAACTGTAAATATTGGGGTATATTTGGGTTAGTAAATACCTGTACCAGTAACAAAGGGCTGAGTCAGCTGCAGTTCACGGTGAGGGCCAAAATGGTTACACTGGGGTGTGGTTACATAAATAACTTGTCCTTAAAATGCTTCCCTGTCAACTGTCTGAGCAGAAGTAACAGTTTCTCATGGAATAAATCTGACCCAGGCTCAGAAATGCCCAGCAATGCTCTCCCCCCTCAGCATCGTGTTATGGCCATGAATTATCTTCTCCAGGCTCAACCCTAACAGGTCATGCAGTGATGGAGCATCCCAAGGACAGGCTGAGGGAGCTGGGGCTGTTCAGCCTCCAGAGCAGGCACTGAGGGGACCTCCCCCAGGTCTGTGGGGTCTGCAGGGAGGGGGCAGAGGATGGCCCAGGCTCTGCTCGGGGGGGCCCAGCAATGGCACAAGAGGAAGAGGCAGGAACTGATGCCCAGCGAGTTCCACCTGCACAGGAGGAAGAACTTCTTGGCTGGGCAGTGACCCAGCCCTGAACAGATTGTCCAGAGGGAGTGGAATCTCCTCCCTGGGGATATATGAACACAACCCTGTGCCATGGGCTCTGGACAGGCAGGTGGGACCAGGTGGGACACTTTGGGCCCTTCCAGCCTCACCCATCCTGGGATTCCGGGATTCTGAGAGCCTGAAATCACTGATGTGCCCAGAGTACGTGTAGGACCTCGTAGTGAAAGCGGCAGCAGCAGCAGCCAGGAACATCTGTCTGCAGCAGTGTGGCTGGAAAGCCTGTCCTCTCCTCAGGCACCAAAAGCTGTCACGTGTCTCACACCCAGAGGGCTGAGGGCACAGACCTTTGCCTACCACAGTTTCAAATCCTCGTCTCTGGGTACATTGCTCTGACCACTGAGGAGCTGGTTGCTTTGAGGGGGTGGGAAGTGAAAGGTGAACCCCCGACTTTACCTTCCCAAGCCCTGCAGCTGAGCATGAAAAACACGAAACAAAAAAGGAGAAGACGAGCTCTTTAGTCTCATGATCACACTTCTGGCTGCCAAAAGGGAGCTGGGGCCAAGCCCAACTTCAGGGGCTGTAACATTCATTTAATATTCACTGAGCATTCAATCAAACATTGCAGGAACAGGGCACTGGATGGGCTTTATGGTCCCCTCCAACCCCAAAAAATTTGGGATTACATAAGACACCAGGGGGAGCTGTGCAGCCACTCCCCCTGCCCTGCACAAACCACGACACTGAGCACCAACCCTGCCAGCCCCAGGCCAGCAGCACACACTGACAGCGGGGTTAGTTTGTGTTCCTTGGCCCACAGCCAGCACCCATGGGTGCTGAGAGCAGGGGGCAGCCCTGCCCAGCCCCTGGCTCCTGCCCACTCACAGGCTCAGCCTGGCCTTGGGGCAACCTGGGACAGCTGAGGGACAGCCCCGTGTGCTGGGTGACTGTCCTGAACTGCTGCCCTGTCACAGAGCGGGGCAGGGGTGCTGGAACCTGGAAACACCCACAGTTATGGGGCTTTCCAGAGTTCAGTGCCCAACCTCGCTCCCTCTGCCTCTGCCTGAACCGGCACCTCAGTGCCCTCGGGCACATGGGGTGATTCTTAGAACAGAATCACAGAACTCCAGACTGGTTTGGGCTGGGGGGACCGTAGAGATCACCCAGTTCCACCCCTACCATGGGCAGGGACACCTTCCACCAGCCCAGGGTGCTCCAAGCCCCATCCAACCTGGCCTGGGACACTTCCAGGGATCCAGGGGCAGCCACAGCTTCTCTGGGCAACCTGTGCCAGGGCCTGCCCACCCTCCCAGCCAGCAATTCCTTCCCAATATCCCCTCTAAATCTGTTCTCTTTCAGCTTAAAGCCATTCCCCTTGTCCTGTCCCTCCATCCCTTGTCCCAAGAGTCTCTCCAGGTCTCCCTGGAGCCTTCTCTTCTCCAGGTGAACTCCCCCAGCTCTCCCAGCCTGTCCCAGAGCGGGGTCGCTCCAGCCCTGGGAGCGCCTCCGTGCCCGCCGGGTTTGTGCCACGGGCTGTTCCGTGCCGGGACAGGAGCTGGACTCGACGATCCCGTCGCACCCCATGAACTCGGGATATTCGGTGGCTCTGCGACAGCTCCCTTTGTCACCGCGGGAGGGACGGGCGGGCCCCAAGCTCGGTCACACCAACCCGCCCCGCGATCCGCCCCGTCCGCCGCCCGCGATCCGCCCCGGTCCGCCCCATCCTGCCCCGGTCCGCCCCCTCCATCGGGCCCGGCCCAGGCGCTGCCGGACGGGCCTTCCGGCGGCGGAGCGGGCGGATGGAGCAGCGGGGATGGAGCAGGACGGAGGAGCAGCGGGATGGATCAGGACGGAGGAGCAGCGGGATGGATGGACGGAGGAGCTGCGGGATGGATGGACGCAGGAGCAGCGGGATGGATGGACGGAGGAGCTGCGGGATGGATGGCCGCAGGAGCTGAGGCAGCGGAGGCCGGAGCGGCGGGGAGCGGCGGTGCCGGGCGGGGGCTGGAAGGGGCTGCTGTGCCTCGTCCTGGCCGCGCTCCCGCTGCCCTGCGCGGGTGAGTCCGGGGAGCCCGGAGCGGATCGGTGGGGCTGGCACGGCCCGGCCCGGCTCGGCTCGGCTCGGGGGCTGGTGCGGTTCCCTGCCCCGAGCAGTCTGTGCCTCTCCCGGCGAGGGGGACGCGGGTCCGGGGCGGTGTCGGGCTGTGAGAGCGGGGCTCGGAAATGTCGAGTTTACGGGGTTTTCGTAGAATCCCAGACGGGTTCGGGTTGGGAGGGACCTCAAAGCCCACCCAGTGCCACCCCTGACAAGGGCAGGGACACCTTCCACCAGCCCAGGCTGCTCCAAACCCCGTCCAACCTGGCCTGGGACACTTCCAGGGATCCAGGGGCAGCCACAGCTTCTCTGCCCAACCTGTGCCAGGGCCTGCCCACCCTCCCAGCCAGCAATTCCTTCCCAACATCCCATCTGACCCTGCCCTCCTTCAGTTTAAGGTCCCCGTCCTGTCCCCCCTGCCCATCAGAACAGTCCCTCCCGTCCCCAGGTCAGCTCTGCCTTTGCCTCCTCCTCAACCCTCTCAGCTCTGCCGGGAGCAGTGGGTGAGGTGGGGAGCTGTGGGTGAGGTGGGGGAGCTGTGGGTGAGCTGGGGGAGCTGTGGGTGAGGTGGGGGAGCCGTGGGTGAGGTGGGGGAGCAGTGGGTGAGGTGGGGGAGCTGTGGGTGAGGTGGGGGAGCTGTGGGTGAGCTGGGGGAGCTGTGGGTGAGGTGGGGGAGCCGTGGGTGAGGTGGGGGAGCAGTGGGTGAGGTGGGGGAGCTGTGGGTGAGGTGGGGGAGCTGTGGGTGAGGTGGGGGAGCTGTGGGTGAGCTGGGTGAGCTGTGGGTGAGGTGGGTGAGCTGTGGGTGAGGTGGGGGAGCTGTGGGTGAGGTGGGGGAGCTGTGGGTGAGGTGGGTGAGCTGTGGGTGAGGTGGGTGAATGGTGTGTGAAGTGCGGGCCAAACGAGTTTTGAATAGCGATGTTTTGCGTGAAAGCCTCAGTGTGGCAGAGCCCCGAGTGTGGATGAGGAGAGGAGAGGAGGGACGGCAGGAGGGGGCAGGATGTGTCCAGGACAGCACGTGGTGCCTCCTGTTTTGTCCTGGAGCAGCAAGAAACAACTATTGCACAAAACCTTCTGTTTAAAGGGGAACTCGTATAAAATACAAAGCTGACAAGAAGGAGGGAGAGGGACTTCTGTACGGGCAGGGAGAGACAGGACAAGGGGCAATGGTTTACAACTGCAGGAGGGCAGGGTTAGGTGGGAGATTGGGAAGGAATTGCTGGCTGGGAGGGTGGGCAGGCCCTGGCACAGGTTGGGCAGAGCAGCTGTGGCTGCCCCTGGATCCCTGGAAGTGTCCAAGGCCAGGTTGGACGGGGCTTGGAGCAGCCTGGGCTGGTGGAAGGTGTCCCTGCCCGTGGCAGGGGTGGCGCTGGATGGACTTTGAGGTCCCTCCCAACCCAACCCAGTGTCGTGAAATGATGCAGCACCACAGCCAGCCTGGGGTTCTGGTTATGGAATTCAAAGCAATTGCTCTGCTGCAGTGCCCTCTCACCTGCTGTGTGGCAAACCCAGCAGTTCTCTCTGCTGCTCCTGGATAAAGCTGTGCCATTCCATGGATTTCTAGAGCCTTTCCTGGGGTCACATGTGCTGGGCCTCCCCTTCCTTCTGCTTCGAAACGCTGACTTAAGAGTTTCCACTGGTTCCTCCACGCGTTTGTGTCATAAATGTTGAGCATCATGTGCTGCTTCCTGGGATTTCCCCTGCGCCATCTCCCCAGGGGGTGTCTCTGTGTTGCCAACGCTTGCTTTCTTTTGTTTTGTTTTGTTGTTGTTTTTTTAATATATTTTGTTATATAATCGTTGTTTTCAACCATATTTATTAGCAGTATTGCTTTAAATATTATGAATTAAGTAGTGCTGTTTGTTGATTAGAGCAGTTGTGTGTTTATTTTAGTTTATTACAATTTGGCAGGGGAAGGAGATGGGCAGTTGTGTAAAAGCATTTCTGCTCTTTAGTCTCTTCTTTCCATAAAAGTCTAATCCCTTAAAATGGTTTCCTCAGCAACAAAGTGTCATCATGCTCTAAGTGAATAAATAGGAATAATTTCAAAGATCTGGCTTTTAATCATTAATAAAATAACCTAAGGAGCCTTGATTTTAGCTATTACTTTGCATATCTGGTTATTGTCTAAATCGTTGAATTTCTTGCTAATTAAGCAGAGAAATTCATTCCTGGTTAGTTATTCGTTGGGATTTAAGGAAATAATTTGGGGAAGCAAACGCAAAACTTACTGGAAATAGGGAAATGTATGAAAGGATGGGTGGGTGGATCACATAATCACGTCTTTAGTATTGAGAACCAATGTCATGTTAAATCAGCCTGAACTTCTGCTATTCTAAAATGAAAGGAGTTCCAGTTCCCTGTATTTTGGTTTACTATTGGTGTAGGATGGGGAAATATCCTGGCAAAGTGGATAAATCCTGCAGGAAGCAGGTGCAGGGGTGCTGAACAAGGAGCTGGGCAGGGCTGGGAGAGGATGGCAAAGGACAGTCAGAATGTCAGTTCTGGCAGAAACTTCTGCAGTAAATTCCAAGACGTTGTGTTGCATCTTTTTTTTGGGGGGAGAGTGTTGTGTTTTTCTGTAGAAAACCCCAAAGGTATTGGGGCAGGGCTAATTAGAAGGGAAAGGTTGTGTGTTTTATAAAATAGCTTACATGAATTCATTTCAGCTGGATTATTCTGATTTTTTTTTTCTTTCTTTACACTGCTTCAAGCAAGTTCGACCATTTGGAAAGAACAGAAAAGAGAGCAATAAAATTCCTTCAGGAAGCTGGAAGTTCAGCTCAGAAGGAAAACTTAAAGAATGGTTGCTGCCATTCAGGTTTTCTCTTCGTTATGAGTCATGTTTAATACAGTTTTTAAATATATCTGACATAAAAAGTAATGTGCTTTAGTAACAAGAGCCAGAAAGGACAGGGGGTGGAACTGGATGAGCTTTCAGGTCCTTCCCAACCAAACCATGGGATTCCATGAAGTCTATAATGAATTTATATAAAGGCATTAAATTTTCTGGTTTACTCCCTTAATTCCATATAAATTTCTGACTTTTTGGCCCCTTTTTTGACTCATGCTGAGCACTGGCTGCAGGTGCTCACATTTATTGAACATAATACTGAACAGCTTAGTGAAAATTCCCTGCGAGCTGAAGGGCTTTGCCTGAATCATTGGCACAAGTTACTTTTAATGCTGTAGTGGGTGTTAAGTTGATTTTAGGGGTGATGCCTCTGAAGAGCTCGTTTCTGTTTGTTCATGTCCTGCCCCGTGCCACTGAAAGCAGCTCTTGCTGCCTGGTTTCACCTGCTCTGGGGAGGATTAAAAGGGGATGAATGCCAAGGTGGAGCCCAGCCTGTTCAAACTGGCACGAGGAAGCTCTTGGAGAACTTCCCTCGACCTGAGAGCCGTGACCGTCGTCCTTTGGGCCTTTCACCACAGCAGTTCTGCAATAAATCCCTTCTCATTTCCTTAAAATGACTGGGGGGGTACTGGGAGGGATTGCTGGCTGGGAGGGTGGGCAGGCCCTGGCACAGGTTGCCCAGAGAAGCTGTGGCTGCCCCTGGATCCCTGGAAGTGTCCAAGGCCAGGTTGGATGGGGCTTGGAGCACCCTGGGCTGGTGGAAGGTGTCCCTGCCCATGGCAGGGGTGGCACTGGATGGGCTTTGAGGTCCCTCCCAACCCAAACCATTCCATGATTCCATGATTTTAACTCACTGTGTCTCATCATACTCCCAGACTGGAATCGTGACTCTCCTTCCCAGTGTCATATTGTCATTAAAATACTGCATTTTAACGATGCTGTTTGTCTCCAGAGGGAGGAAATGCTGATTTCCAGGGGTATTTACAGCTTTAGAAAGCACTGGCTTGGATTAAAACATTAAATAGATGTCTTACATCAACCTGTTATCTGGTGTGTTTGGTTAGAACATGAACCTTGACACGTTTTTCTTCCATTTTTCCAAACTTCCTTTTTCCTCTCTAATAAAAATCACCTCACAGCTTCCTTCTATGTAGAACTTCAGGATTTCAAAACATGGGAAAGATACTTCAAGTATTTGATTTTCTACCCAAGGCAAACAAAAATAATAGTCTTCAAATACAGTTGTGTTTTTAGCAGCCTTGGAGCTCTGTAGGTGCCCTTGTTGTCAGAAGCCTTTTGGCTGAACTGCTGCATCTGCTGGATAAATATCTACCAAAAAACCCCAGTTATTCCTTTGCTTTCTTATTTTCTGATCAAATGTACCTTGGCATTCTCTGGGTTTGCCTTGCTCTGTCAGAAGAGTAACAAATTCATGTCCTGTGGAAATAAATCCCGGAGTGGGATCCACGAGGTTTTTAGTGAATTATTTTGCTTTCGGGAGTTATTTCCAAAAATCAGTCATCTGTTGGTGCCACTTAATTCTCCAGGAGGACTTTGCAGACTTGAGCTTGATAATTGGCTTTTCCACACTTGTTTCCTTTTTATAAAGAGAATTGGTCATGTTTTATACATTATAAAGGGAACTGGACTATGAAATAGTTCTTGCAAGGAATCCTAAAATCAAATTCAGGATAAGCCATTGGATGGCCAAGCAGACTTTGGTTGCCCAGGTGAAAGAGGATTTACTTGTTCTGATTTCTTCTTGACATGATCAAATATTAGACTGGTACCACACAGCAATTTCAGGGTTTTCAGACAGGTTTGTACAAGTTGGAGCCATTGGGAAATGATTGATAAAGTGACACGGAACAGGGAGAAGGGAAGGTCAAGTCCAAAGGGTGTGTTTTGGTTTTGCTGTAGTTTGTTTTGTTGTAGTTTGTTTTGTTTAAAGTATTTAGTCATATTTTATTTTTATTTTTAAAATGCTTGCATTTTATTTTGTTGATTCTGTTTCTTCCCCCTGCAGTGTTAGAAATTTCCAGTCAGAGGAGAGAGGTCTAAATTGTCCATGTTCTGTGTGGACTCCAGGCAGAGGGACTGAGAAATTTAAACTCTCTGAATCTGCACTGGACTGTTTGGGGGGGAGGTTTGGCATCATTTTAGTGACTTGTGAGGCTTCCTCAGTTCCCATATAATTCCTGGGCCTTCCCATTTTCCCTCTGTGCTGGAAAACATTCCAGGCCACCCTTGCAGCCCTGATTGTGATTGAGAAGTAATTGAAAACATGGGTTAAATGACCAGAGAAAAGTCCGTTTTCTGAAGTATCAGAGTAATTCCTTCTCCCGCAGTGTTGCTACTCACCTGTCTTTTGATACCTGAATTTAACAATAATAATATTGATAATAATGATGTAACTAAAGCTGTGCCCATTTTTCTATCCCAATTTCTGTTTGTGCTGTTGTTTGCAGGCCTTGCTCCTCTGCAGAGCCCCCAGGACCTGCAGGTGCACGTGGTGAACACCAATTTCAGCCTGAGGTGGAGCCACTCGGGGAGCCAGCCCGGGGTGACCTTCTCAGCTCAGTACAAATGGTGAGGGGTGATTTGGGAGCCAGAACTCTTGACACTGCCGTGTGCAGAGGAGCATTTTAATTAATAAAAAATTTAAATTACTTTGCTGCCTGAGGCAGCCACTTGTGGAGACCTCCTGAAAGGCGGGAAGGGGAAATCTTGAAATGAAGCAGGATCCAAGTCCTGGCCCTAATTTGTCTGTAATTTATGTGTAAAAGTAGATTGACCTGTGATAAATACAGTGATAAACACACAGCAAGCACACCTGCTAATAATGCTTAATTCTGGAGTGGTTCTTTGAGAAGATTTAACTGGCACTCTTGGAAAGTTAATTTATGTAATTTATTTTTAATATGATTTTTTCCTCTGGGGTTTTTTTGATCGTGGCCACACACACACACAGAATTTCAGGGAATTTTCAGTGTAGCTTTTGACTAATTTGATCATTAATCCACATTTCTCATCTGCAAGTTTTAATCCCCAGATGAAACAATTTTGGTTTTGTTGTTAAATGTTTGCTTGGTTTTTCTGCATTAGTTTCACACCCCAATATTTTTGCTTGCATTAGCACATACATTTGGTATTTTTTGGCACTTTCCTGCAAGGTAAATAATGAAAAGCATTTCTAAGATAAAGTTACTCAAATTCTGAGCAACCTGGGCTGGTGGAAGGTGTCCCTGCCCATGGCAGGGGGTGGAATGGGATGATTTTAAAGGTCCCTCCCAACCCAAACCATTCCACGATTCTGTAATTATGGATTTTTAAAAAATAGCTCTTCTTCCTCCATGTGTAAAAGAGAAACAGCTGCTTTGAAGACAGTTTTCTTTTAAAAAATAAGAAGGCAAGGTAGGAGCTGAGGATAAACCATGACTAATTCAAGTCTGTGCCTCTTTTTTTAGGTCAGGATGTTTTTAATCTCTCCCTGAAGTGTCTCTTTCTTAACTAAGGTGTGGATGTCTGTTAACACCAGAAAAAAACAGTTTATGTAAAACTAATTATTGAACTCCAGTTGTCACCTTTGTGTTTTTATTTCCCCCTGATCTCCATTCCTGACTCACGTTAAAATTGAGGGCTTTTTGCTGCTTTTATGCTCTTTTAAACACTTCCATCAAGACATTTTTAAATGTCTTCCAATGAATTAAAAAAATCTTAGCCAGACTAGGAGAATATAATAATATTAAGGGTAAACAATTCTGTAAAAATTCTGATGTAATTCTATGATTTGGCTGTTCTTTGGTGGTGTTCTCTGACCCTGTGTCTTCACATGGTGCATAAGGCAAACTGCTATCAGACTTTGCAGGCTGATTGTTAACCAGTAAATTAATAGTTAAAATGAATTAATTAAATGGTAATACGAATTTCAGGAGAATTCCTAAGGAGGTGGCACTGATTACACTGCTGCTGGGGATAGAAAGGCATCAATGGGGTGTTGTTGATTAGAAGAGAAAAAAAAAAGAGATAAAGAAGAGAAATAAAAAGGGATAAAGAAGCAAAGAAAAATAATCCCAAGGTTTAAATTGTGGGTTGGTGTTAATTTGGGGGTGTTTCCTCTCTTGCAGGTCAGAGAGCAGTGCAGCAGAGTGGCAGGAGCTGCCTGGCTGTGGGAACGTCTCTGGCACGGAGTGTGACTTCTCCTCAGCCATAACTCACTATTATGACCCCCACTTTGTGCGTGTGAGGGCCCAGCAAGGGGGCCGAGTGTCCCCCTGGTCCAGGATCCTGGAAATGGTCCCGGATCACGAAGGTACAAACCCTGTCTGGGCTGTGGATTTGCAGTGAAATGTCCTTTACCCAGCAGGGCAGGGGGGATTGTGCCCCTCTGAGACCCCCCTGCAGAGCTGCTCCAGCCCTGGGAACAGCACAGGGAGCACAGGGAGCTGCTGGAGAGAGCCCAGAGGAGGCACCAAGAGGATCCCAGGGCTGGAGCAGCTCTGCTGGGAGGAAAGGCTGGCACAGCTGGAGGGGCTCACCTGGAGAAGAGAAGGATCCAGGGAGACCTGAGAGCCCCTAAAGGGGCTCCAGGAGAGCTGGAGAGGGACTGGGGACAAGGGATGGAGGGACAGGACACAGGGAATGGCTTCCCACTGCCAGAGGGCAGGGAGAGATGGGAGACTGGGGAGGAATTGCTGGCTGGGAGGGTGGGCAGGCCCTGGCACAGGTTGCCCAGAGAAGCTGTGGCTGCCCCTGGATCCCTGGAAGTGTCCAAGGCCAGGTTGGACGGGGCTTGGAGCAGCCTGGGCTGGTGGAAGGTGTCCCTGCCCGTGGCAGGGGTGGCACTGGATGGGCTTGGAGGTTCCTATCAATCCAAACCCATCTAGAATTCTGGGACTGTGGAACAAACCTGTGGTTTGTGCTGCCCATAACAGCAGGGTATGGTGGTTTTCTCAGCAGGAGCATAACTCAGGTATCTGCAGGTCATGGAATGGTGCAATTCTGCCTTTCCTGGAAAGGGAAAATGCTGTGAGTGATGCTGGTTTCATAGAATGCCAGACTGGGAAAGAACTTCAAACTCATCCAGTCCCCCCTGCCGTGTCAGGGACACCTTCCACTAGCCCAGGGTGCTCCAAACTCCTTCCCTCTGGAAATGTTCTCCTGACTTTGGGACTTTTCAGTAGTTACAATGTGGTACTGAAGCCTTCCCTCAGTGCTGGGTTTATTGGTCTGAGCAACATTTCTTGCCTTTTTTAGAAATACTGACTTTTACAGTAGATTTTGGAAAACAGTTGCATTTTAGCTGCTTTTAGAACCAGGTCGTGGTGGTTGGTTGTTAGGTTGGATTTCTATTAAAAACTGCCTGGGAGTCACAAAAACTGAGACCCTGTAGGTGATCACTGTGATCTTGTTACTGCCTCAAGAGAATCAAAAATAAGATTCTATAGGTAGGTACTGTGGTTTTGTTGATGTCAACTGCTTTTGGGATGGTTTTGCTCCACGTAGTTGTTGCTTAACTTTGTTTTTCTTTATATATTTCCAGCTCAGATTGGTCCACCAGGAATAGAGTTGCAGCCCACAAATGGAGACATAAAAATTAAGATTTCTCCTCCAGAAGCAAATCAGGGCAGAAAAATGTGGTTAAATGATCTAAGCTTTAAATACAATCTTGTTTTCTGGGAAAATTCATCAAATTCTCAGGTATGATCACTTTTTTTAATGTTTAACCTTACCAGAACTGTCAGAGATGGAATTCAGTCATGCTCTAAAATGCATTTGTTTGAGTCTATAACTGTGTCTCTGTTTATATGCAGTTTAAAAGTTGGGGGAGGTGTTTTTTGGGGTGTCTTTGGTTTTATTTTTGCTATAGGATTGAGTTAGATATTATGTGCCAAGGGTTTCTGTTTCTGTTAAATGCTGGAGCCACTTTCCAGTGCAAGACGAAGAAAATGAAAGCAGCTCAGGTGTGTGGGGACAGAGGGCACCCCTGGGCAGCAGGAATAGGGAGGCGGAGGAATTCCAGGCAGAGGGAAGAAGCTTTTCCAGGGAGGGACAGATGTGAAGGAGGGGACAGGGCAGAGTCTGATTTGGTCTTGCTGAGGCAGAGCAGCTTCAGGACAGCCCTCAGTGCCCTGCCCTGGGCCATGGGCTGGAGTTCATGGAATCCCAGAGGGTTTGGGTTGGGAGAGGCCTTAAAGCTCATCCAGTGCCACCCCTGCCACGGGCAGGGACACCTTCCACCAGCACAGGGTGCTCCAAGTCCTGTCCAACCTGGCCTGGGACACTTCCAGGGATCCAGGGGCAGCCACAGCTTCTCTGCCCAACCTGTGCCAGGGCCTGCCCACCCTCCCAAAGAAAAATTCCTTCCCAATATCCCATCTCTCCCTGCCCTCTGGCAGTAGGAAGCCATCCCCTGTGTCCTGTCCCTCCATCCCTTGTCCCCAGTCCCTCTCCAGCTCTCCTGGAGCCCCTTTAGGCCCTGGGCTGGTTCATGTCCAGCCTCTGCCCCACCAGCACCCCCAGGGCCTTCTCCCAGGGCTGCCCATGATCCATTCCCTGCCCAGCCTGTTCCTGTGCTTGGGATTGCCCCAACATGGATGTTCTTTTCAGGTCTTGTCCTTGTGGAGGTTTCCAAGCCACAGTGTGTGTCTCACACAGCAGCCAGGGCCCCTCTGGAAAGATCAGGGTGGGAACAGTCTTTATTTATCTTTTTAGGGAAAGGGGTGTCAGCTGAATTAGGGTAGGAATTGAAGGGCCATCTGTTCTTTTGGAAGGTCAGGTCACAGTCATTACTACAATAGGAACACTGAGGGGCTGGAGCGTGTGCAGGGAAGGGAAGGGAGCTGGGAAGGGGCTGGAGCAGCAGGAGGGGCTGAGGGAGCTGGGGGGGCTCAGCCTGGAGAAAAGGAGGCTCAGGGGGGACCTTCTGGCTCTGCAATCCCTGCCAGGAGGGGGGAGCCGGGGGGGGTCGGGCTCTGCTCCCAGGGAACAGGGACAGGAGGAGAGGGAACGGCCTCCAGCTGTGCCAGGGGAGGCTCAGGTTGGCCAGGAGGAGGAATTTGTTGCTGGCAAGGGTGGTGAGGCCTTGGCAGGGGCTGCCCAGGGAGGTTTGGAGTGCCCAGCCCTGGAGGTGTCCCAGAGGTGTCTGGATGTGGCCCTTGGGGACGTGGATTAGGGGTGGCCGTGGTGGTGCTGGGTGACCCTGCAGGGCTCTCCCAACCCTGAGGTTTCTCTGGTTGCACCTCAGAGGAGGAAATCACCTGTTCTGACACCTCCTGTTCGAAGGTCACTCCTATAAAGTCTGGGAAACCAAAAGCAGGGAGGTGGCAGAGGGGGAGGGGGATGTTCCAGTGGGAGGGATGAGTGTCCTGTTTCGTTTGGAGTATCAGCTGAACATCTGTGGGGTGAGTTCCACGTCACGTCAAGCAGAGACCACAGTCCCATCCCACTTTCATGTGGCAGAGGAGCTCAAAATGTTCCTTCCTCTGAGTGACATTAATTGGAAATTTCCCTTTAACACTTATCCACCTCAAATATTGCCCTTTTTTTTTTCTATTTTAGCTTTTTTGGTGGTCTTTGCTATAAATGGGCTGAAATCCTGGGAGGACAAATGATCCTTCCCAAACCCCGCTCCTGGGGAGGGACAGTCCCTTCAAAGGCTCTTTGTGGTTGTTTCTTCCAGCCCAGAAGTAAAAATATTTTTCCCATTGACACCATCGAGGATCTTGCACCAGACACCACTTATTGTTTTAAAGTTCAAGCAAATCTTCCTGTGGAGGGCAAAGAAGGGCTGTTCAGTCCCGTTCACTGCGTGAAAACCACCCAAAAAGGTGAGAGGAAAATCAGTTTATCTGCAGATGAGGATTGAATTTAAACTGTCACAAAGTGGATTGGTCTAAAGCAACAAAAATGTGCAGAACTGCCAAGTTCCTCCTCATTTTGGGATGAAAAAATACACGTAACGTACAACAGTTAATGACATTTCTCAGTCAACGTAAGATATGGCAGCAGTAGAGTTTTAATTGTACAAAAAGGGGTTTTGCCACCAGGCAAATTATTATTGCCTAATCAATTAATTTGGAGTGCAAAAGCTTCTTTCTGTATTTTCGGAAAACTCTCTGTATTTTGAATTAGTGGCTTTGAATCAGGAGGAAAGGGGGTGTGTGGAGGCAAAAGAAAAGCCTTTTGTGCCCTTGACAGTAAATAAATGCACAGAAAGTTGGACTAAGCTTAAAAAAATCCTGGTTTTACGTAATCCTTGGGGAACTGATTGTTCCAGGTTCTGGAGGAAGGCACAGTGGCAGTTGGCCACCAGTTGCTTGGTTTGCATGTCTAAATTTAAATTCTTTTGTGTGCTTTCGGGTGTCAGTTTAGGTACTTCTAAATGTTTCTTTCAGGAAAAAAAAATAACTTCAGGAAAATCAAATATAGAACCAACCTGGATGGGACATCAAAATTAGTTGGTAGATGGTACATCAAAATCAAAATTAGTTGGAGTAATTAATTGATGGTACATGGAAATTACTTTATACAAAAATATTAAATTAAAAATATACTAAATAATACATGTGCATTTTAGTGAAACATTAAAATGATTAATGTGCTTTTAAATAAAATATTAACATGTGTATCATAATAAATATTAAAATAATTGGCACTTGCATGTTTTAATACAGGATTAAACATTAAAATATTGGAATGTGTAACAAATACACGTGTATTTTACACATTTTTCTCCTCGATTTATTGCCAAAGCAGTTTCTTGCTGCTCATCTCAGTGTTTCTGTAGTTTAACTTTTTCTGAATTGATTTTGTTATTTCAGGCTTAGTACAACACCCTGACTTTCTGATTTGCAACCTTTATAATGAACAGACAATCTTTATATTTTCATTATTGGAAGTGCACCATGAGAAATGTCCATTCAGTGAGAAATCTGTCTGTAATATCGATTTTTTGCTATTTTGGGGTTTCCTTTTGATTCTGAGCAGTGAACGACCTTCTCTGTGCAAGAAATCTGAGAGTCCGTGGTTTGAATATGGAATTTCACCTGCACTGGGAGAATCAGTATAAAGAACCCGTGAGCTACAACGTCCAGTACCTCATGTGAGTCCAAAATTTCCACCTCAGTTTGCAGGTTATGTCCTTTGAGATGCCATGTATTTTATTGTGCCAGCGTCTTCTGGAAATTAAAATGAAATATTTAAGTGTATTAATGCAGTAGTGGGAATGTTCATCTGTTAAAAGGATTCCATGATATCTTACCCTGGAATTTCAGGGCACTGAGATGATTTTCATAGTGTTTAATACCTAAGGGAAGGGACTTCTAAATGCTAAATAATATTTTTAAAAGCTGGGAAGTTTTGCTTTGTAGCTTACTGGGTGTGAAAAAATTCGATGACTAGAAGGGAGAAAAATGCAGGTGCTTGAGGTTTCAGTTGTCAACAGGTTTGATTTCTTCTGGTCAGATCCAAACATGGAAAAAAACCCTGTCTTAGCACATCAGAAAAACATTGTATCACATTAAAAAAAAATCATATAACATCAAAAAAAAGGATCACATTTAAAAAAACCAAACATTTTACATCAGAAAAAGGGATCACATTTAAAAAAAACAAACATTTTACATCAGAAAAAGGGATCACATTTAAACAAACCAAACATTTTACATCAAAAAAAGGGATTACATTAAAAAAAAAGCCAAACGTGTCACATTGAAAAAAGGGATCACATCAAAAGCCACCCTGTCAAGACACGAATCCATAAACCTGTATCCCAATCTCCAGCTGTCACCCAAATATTGAGGCCAGTACCTCAGTGAAGAGGAGAGTTCCCTCAGGGGTTCTTTTGGAATTCCTTTGGCGTGCCAGGAAAATAACTGACTTCACAGAACGTGAGAAATTTTAATTGGGATTTTAAGGACCTGCAAAACCAGCACATGATTTACCTCGGGGCTTGATCAAAGCACTGATCTGTGGTTCCTGCCCCGCTTCCCTTCGCTGTTTGGGTCAGAAGTGTCTCCTGGTCATTCCATCGTTCCCTCAGCAGGAAAACAGCCTGTGGAGTGCTGGCAAATCTGCTTTTTGCCCCAAAGGCTTCAATGGGCCTCATATCAAAACTGGTGAATTCTGTCTTGCAGTGGGTATCTGAAGAGGCTGAACGAGGATTACTCTGGGAAGTGGGTGAGTGTCCCTGGCTGTGGGGACACCGCTGGCACTCAGTGCGACGTCTCCTCGGTCATCACCACCACCGGCTTTTATTACCTGCGTGTGCAGGCCAGGGCTGGCCACAACAGATCCTGTCTGTCCACTGAAGTCAAAGTAGATCCTCTGAAAACCAGTAAGGAAACGTGTTCTCCTAAATTTTCATTTCTCAAAAACTGGTACCCAGTGCCACTATCGACTTACAGGAGGGTGGAGAGGGACTGGGGACAGGACACAGGGAATGGCTTTCCCCTGCCAGAGGGCAGGGATAGATGGGATGTTGGGAAAGAATTGCTGGCTGGGAGGGTGCCCAGGTTGTCCAGAGAAGCTGTGGCTGCCCCTGGATCCCTGGAAGTGCCCAAGGCCAGGCTGAAAATAATTGAAATATTTCTCAGGACTTGAGATTCTGCATAAAGGTATGAAGTCAGACTTTTAAGTATGTGTTTCTAAAAAATTATCATAGGTTTCAATGACAGTATTTTATGCAGTGTTTTTATCTGGTTTTTTTTAAGTTGTATTTTTAATTTTGTTTTTAAGATGAAATTGGCCCTCCTGGTGTAAAGCTGGACATCGGGGATACTTTGCTCCACATCCAGATTTCTCCTCCTGGAGGACCTGAGGGGGAAGTCATGAGGAACAACTATGTCTTGTCTTACCGGATTCTGTACTGGAAGAACTCATCAAATGATGAGGTTTGAACTGGTTAACAAATTTCATACACAGCCATAAGTATTTATGACTTAAATCTCGAGTTCGAGTTCTCCTCGAGAAGCTTCTTTTCAAGAGAGGCGCAGATATGATGTATCAGTCTGAAAAAAAAGTCAGTCTGTTGGGTTTTTTTTCTGAAAGGTTCTGTTGAAAATCTGATCAAGGTGATTTTATCACACAGTGAGTGAGATTTTAATCTGTTTCCATGGATGGGGCCGTGTTCAGTGTAAGCTGGGATGTAAAAGCTCTGTGTGTCATGAAACAGCAAAGTCCTGTGTGCTTTTAGCTCACAGTTTTTTCCATATTTAAACACTTCTTACAGTAAAATATTTTACAGTAGTGGCTGAAAGGGTGGAGGAAGAGAAGGAAACCAACTGCAGCAGGAAGAGGTTTCGTGTTGCACAGACTTGGAGCTGGGAAGTGTCACAGTGCTGGCAGCAGTTGGTTCTTGCCAACGAGTGTTTCCTGAATTTTGCTGGGGAGATAATTGGGTGGTTCCTTTGATTTAATCTGAGTGCCCAGGGCGGTGGTGGAGTCACCAGTGTCCCAGAGGCACTTGGGACGTGGTTTAGGGGTGCTGGGTGACAGCGGGACTGGACAAGCCCAAAAGGTCTCTTCCAACCCTGACGATTCTGGGAATTCTGTGCTTGCAGTGACGTTTTACAGAACGACTTCTTCATCAGAGGCTGAAATTCTCACCTCTCTGAGTGATTCTTGTACTGTTCACGTGCATCTGATTCTCCCATCTCGGACTTTTCAGGAGGAGGCCAAAGTGAAGGAGACAAAACAAACCGTAGCGACGATCCCCGACCTCGCGCCCGAGACCTTGTACTGTGTCAAAGTGCAGGCCTTCTCAGAAGCTTACAACAAAAGCAGTGGCTACAGCCAGGAGGAGTGCATCCAAACCCCTGCAGGTAGGGGAAGCTTGGGGATTGATCCACCTCTGCAAGTCCAGTTATTGACCCTTCATGGCCCTTCGCAGCTCTGGCTGGTTAAAAACTCCTGGCAGCAAGACCTCCTTGGGCAGAGAGCTTGAATTCCCAGTGCTTGTAAAATATTTTTGGGAATCACTAAATGCCCTGTTTTCAGGAATATTTTACCTTTGGAATTTACACAGTTCTTTTGTGAATGAATTCAGCTTTAACAAGTGGTGTGCTGCAGTGTAAGGAGACAAATCATCTGGCTCGTCAGAGCCCAAAGCTCACCCTGGTGCCAAGTGAGGCTGGGTGGGTTCCACTCCCTCAGAACAGAAGAGAGAGCTTCATGGTGAAGAGAATTGGCCAGATGAAATTTTATTAACTCTAGAAAAATTGCTAAATATCCAAACTGTTTAAGAAAATGTGATAACAGTAATGCTCCAGCACATCATAAGCCTTTAGGATTCATTTATACTGTGGTCCTGCTGTGTCTTTATCAAGCCTAAAACAACCCAAATGTTACTTTTTTTACCTTCATTAGATAAATTCTTTAATCTGTTTTACTAGTTATTAGTCTTCCCATATCCTTCTATTTTAATGATCTTATGTAAGACCAAGCAGTACATTCAGGACAGATCATGCCCTGTGTTTCCCACATGTTCTTACATCCCAGAGTGGAAATCTTTCATTCTTTGATCATAAAAAAGGACCTGATTGTCTGTAATTATGATTATTTGTAGAGTGTCTCTTGGTATCTGTTAATTTTAGTATGTTCAGACTCGCTTCAGTTTATTACAGAAAGGCAGAGAATCACAGAGTGGTTTGGGTTGGAAGGACCTTAAAGCCCATCCAACCTTGATTGTTCTGTGTGCCTGTATTTGATCCTTTTTTGAAGTACAATTCTCTAAGGTGTTGGGACAGCACCAGTTTTTCACGATCACCGTGGCTGGTGTAGCCCTGTGGAAATGCAGAATATATTGTGATATAATCCTGCAGCAGATTTGGAGCTAACCTGTTCTTTAATCCTTGGTGGTGATGAATGCCTGGACTGAATGGTTTTCGTTCCTCTCTTTAGAGAAAGCTTTCCCTCTGATCATTTTAGCCACGTTCATCGTTGCCCTGGTTGCTGTCCTGCTCGTGGCCTTGCCTCTGGTGTTTGTGCTCTACCAGGCTTACAGTAAAATCAAGTATGTGTTCTTCCCAGCCTGCCAGCCTCCCCTGAACATCGAGGTGAGCTCACACTTCTTTCACTGAACAGATTATTCTTGGGAAAATGAACTAGAAATGTTATGGATGGATGTTTCCCTGTCATCCTGGTCTCATGGGAATGCCAGGATTAACTATAGAGATTTTAACAATGGTTCTCCACAAGGGCAGGTGTTGTCTCCAGTTTCCAGATTTTCCTTCAGTTCTTGTGTGGCCTCCTAAGGCTCCAATCCATGAAATATTGCAATTCTATAGGTGATGGACAACTATGAGCATAGCAAATGAGATATGATTAATGTTTGAGTTGTTTACTGTTTGAGTGTATGAATGGGATGATGAGGTGGGAACAAGGGACAGGAGGAGAGGGAACGGCCTCCAGCTGTGCCAGGGGAGGCTCAGGTTGGCCAGGAGGAGGAATTTGTTGCTGGCAAGGGTGGTCAGGCCTTGGCAGGGGCTGCCCAGGGAGGTTTGGAGTGCCCAGCCCTGGAGGTGTCCAAGGCAGGCCTGGCCGTGGCACTCAGTGCTCTGGGCTGGGGGACAAGGTGGGGATGGGGCACAGGGGGATCCATGGGCTGGGAGGGCTTGTCCAGCCTCAGGGATTCTGGGATTCTGTGAACTAAACTTCATCCTAATTTTGAGTTGTTGAACTTGGAGTAACAAATGGCCTGTTAGAGGTAGAAAACCTCATGATACTCCACAGCTTGATCACAAAATGCCTGACTGGTTTGGGTTGGGAGGGACCTTAAAGCTCATCTAATTCCCACCCTCTGCCATGGACAGGGACACCTTCCACCAGCCCAGGGTGCTCCAAGCCCCCTCCAACCTGGCCTGGGACACTTCCAGGGATGCAGGGGCCGCCACAGCTTTCTCTGGGCAACCTGTGCCAGGGCCTGCCCACCCTCCCAGCCAGCAGTTCCTTCCTAATCACCACCCTCACAGTAAAGAATCCCATAAACCAGATTTGTGCAGCTGTGGTGTTAAGCAGAATCACTTTTTAAATTATTTAAATCATTATATAAATGTTGTGTTTGAATGTTCATCCCTCCCTTTTCTCCTTCTGTTTCTCAGGGGTTTGGAGGACAGCTCTGCACCAGCCCTTATCTGTCAGCTCCAGAAGAACCAATAGAGAACTGTTCTATAATTGACTCTATGGTCACGTGTGAAGGAAATCAGATTGATTTTAAAGACTACAAACATTCCAAGCAGAGCAGTCGAGACTCAGGAAATTACTCCAACGAGGACAACACTTCAGGGAGCAAAGGCTCGGCAGAAACTCTGGAAAAGGAAATAATATAGCTCTGAGGAAAGTAAAACTCATCTGTGGGGCCGGCAGCTTGGTGGAACTTCTTTACTCTGGGAGTCACAGCCTGAGGAAGGCGCTGTGACTTTTGGGATCGTTGTCTTTGGGCTTCCAGATCTGCACTTTGTTGGTTGGAAATCACCCCGAGTCACTGGATGGACTGCACTGATGTGTCCCCACGTGAGCAAACACTGACCTTCTGCATGGAGAGGAGCAGATCTGGACGCTCTCTGTACTTGAAGGCCTTGGCTCAGCACAGCCTGCGTGTTCCACAGCACAGTTTGTCTCTCTCTGTCTCCCAGGGGGTTGTGTTGGGTCCGGTGCGTGCCGGGCCATCGCCGTCAGTCCCGGTGTCTGCTCTCCCAGTGTTTACACGGGCAGGAGGATATCCATGCCGGATACAATCCTAAGGACTTCTTGGACATTCTCTTCCAGCCCCTCAGGGGCTGTGCTTGTTGGTTCAGCAGGTCCAGAACAAAGTGCCAAGAGTGATGTCAGCGAGGGGCTCCTGAGGCTCCATGTGCAATTCCCACTTCCTTGCTCAGTATCCTACTCCCCATTCCTGGAAGTGCCCAAGCCAGGTTGGATGTTGCTCTGAGCAGCTTGGGCTGGTGGAAGGTGTCCCAACCCGTGGCAGGAGGTGGGACTGGGTGGGCTTTAAGGTCCCTCCCAGCCCAGACCAGTCTGGGATTCCGTGATTCCTCTGGGATCCTCCCAGAGCACAGGGTCATCAGGGCAAGGATAGGGATGGGAGGAGGCAGGAAGGATCTTCACTGGGCTAGAAAGGGAAATGTCGCAGTAGAACCTCTGTGATTGGGTCCAGTTGTCCTGCATGTGGGACCAAAGGAGCTCCCTGCAGGAGCTCCGGCCGTGGGGCTGCAGAGGGTCAGGCACAGCCTGGACTGGTGTGTGCCCCCCACTGCCTCGTAACCTAAAGGGCAAAATGCTGACCTCTAATTGGATTTCACTCAGAAACAATCTCCTGAGAAGGGTGTAACTTATTTCTGTCATTAGAAAGACCAAAGGTGAATTTAGAAGATGCCTTTTAAGAGCGATCAGGGTGTTTGTCACTCAAAGCTGTTGCAGCTCTGTCTTGTCTTGCCAACAGAGTTTTTTGTGTACAAATGATCAGGATATGCTCCAATAACATTTCAATTTACATACCTCTGTCTGCTGGAGTAATTTTTTTAAGTAGCTTATTTTTTTATGAAGAAATCGCTTTGGATTAAACTGGGTTTGAGCATCATGTGGACTTTAGTTTATTCTGACAAGGAACTCTTGGTGTTTATATATCTTTTTAATTTTGAATATGTTGCCTAACTTTATAAATTTAATTTCCTTGTGTTCATTGAAGAACATAATAAATTTTGCACATTTATTTCTTTATCCCTTTCTTGGTTCTGTGTATTTTTGATGAAGCTGTGCCATGGAAGTTCCCAGGAGTCCTCAGTTGTCCTTCCTGAAAAACCCAACGTGAAGGATATCGTAGAATATCATATTATAGGATATAATAGAATATGATGTCATAGAATATCATAATTATAATTTAATCTTAGGAGTGTTGCATGATTTGGACAACTTCTATTTAAGGTGGAGGTTTCACTGTCAGATTTCAAAGCAAAGCAACCAAAAGTTTCTGAAATAGGCAGAATATTTTCCAAGCAATCCACATTTTTCTTGGGAATGTAGAACCAAAGAGATGCTAATGACCATACATGTATGCTCTTGAGTTTGGTAACGAGATGAGTAACAGAAAATCTTGTATCAGCTCCTTTAGTGGTACCAGAAGCAAAAGCAGAGCTGTAAGATGAAGACACTCATTGACACAACACACTGAATTTACACTGGAACCTTCAGTTCCCAGATACCTGAGGCAACTTCCTTCTGATTTGTTTCAGATGAATCCAGGAAATACTTGGGAAAGAACTGGAAATGTTACAGTTCACTCCACACAGCTCTTTGTTAGGGTGCAGAAGGGAACTTGGTTTCAGTGGATTTTGTTCAATTCCCAAAGTCCTCCTGAAAATGCAGCCCTTGGAGTGATTTTCTTCCTCATTCCATATTCCCAACGAGGTGGCCTTGGAGGTCTTTTCCAGCCTCGGTGGCTCTGGGATTCCCTGCTCTGAAGCCATCCCGTGGGGGGAGGTGATAACCATTGACAGCTGAGTCCTTTCAGCTCAGGAGATGGGATTGTCCCTCCTGGGGGGAAATCACGAGCAGGTTCCCCAAAGTCCGAGTTTTGGAGAGCAAACCCCTTCACCCGTGGTGGATCTGTGGGATGAGGGTGAGATCAGCTGAAGGGGAACCAACATCTGGGAATCATTTCCCATGTTTGGTCCCAGATTCCCTGACTTTCCCCTGACTCCTGCTTTTGGAATGGATTTTGGAACTGGGGTTTATTATGTTTATTAGGTTTTATTCATTTATAATTTATTGGGAGGGTATTTGTAATTTATTAGGTTTTATTTATAGTGTGTTATGGTTTGTTTATTTATTTGGAATTTATTAGAGGTTATTTATGTCTTTATTATCTACTAGGTTTTATTATTTCAGACTTATCTGCTTGATGGTGAAAGCCAGGTAAGAACACACAGATAAATCCATAGTGGAGAACCCCCTGGGTGGTAAATCCTCGTGAGATATTGGCTCATTTTCATAGGGGTGCTTTGCTGAAGGATAATTGTGCAGAGAATGTGACTGTGCTCTGCACTGACACACTCAATATATTTGTATTTATTTATTCTATTATGTTAAAAATATATTTTAAATTTCATTTGTCATACTATTAATTTATATATTTTTAAGATATAATAGTTTCAAATATATTTCTAATTATATATAGCTGTATTGAATATTATAACGAATAATATTTATATATTATAATATATAATTAATAACAAATTATATATTATGATACACAATATATAAATTATAATATAATTATAATAATATATTTATATATTATAATGCAATTTGTTATCTTTATATATTGTATTATTAATATATGTATTATATTATATATAATGTATTATATATGTATTATATTATATATCTATATATAATATTATATTAATAAATGCATTATTAATATAACATTTATTATAAATTATGTGATCACAACATATAATTATATATAATATTACATAATGTTACCATGTATGTTTAATGTTATATTAATATATATTATCTATAAATATATATTCTATATAACAGAAGTACTGCAGGGATATGCTTTAAGGATCCCAAGGTACCAGAAGTGCCACTTTTTGCCAGATGGGATTATTTGCCATTGCTGTCTGTGATGGGTAATCCAAAGTTCCTGAAAACTTGAAGTGATGGATCATGGATTCAGGCAGATTTCCAGGAATGTGAGCAAGACTTGCTGCAGTTTTTCCAGCAGGAGTTACCTTTGAGTAGTGATGGCCTTGGTAAATTCTTGTTTTCACCACAGATGGTATTTCCAGTCTTATTTTCCACTGAGGCAAAAAAAACCCCCCACAGCCCTTAAAGCTGTCCCTGCTAACTAATATCCCATAAAAACCCCACCTGGCACTGTGGGCTGTCAGGACAAATTATTTCATTCAGGTTCTTGGAAAATACCTTGGCAGACTTGAAAACTTTGTGTCCTGGTTTTACAGCAGGATCCAGAAGGTCTCGAAATCCCTGGCCAGCAGCTCGTGGAATATCAGGAAATCCTGATTCAACAGAAAGAGGGGCAGGCCTGGGGGAGTTTGGGGATGCTGAACCATCTCAGGGTGTGTCAGTGAGTGCAGGATGACTGATCAGTGATTACCCCGCGGGATGAGCAGCACGGGCTGTAGTTGATGTGCTGCAGAACCAAATCCTCGTGGACACGCCAGGCTTGGGAAGTCCCGGACCTTTAACTCGTCCTCTCTTTCCTGCAGTTCCCAGCACCACAGAAATAGCCTCGTAACCATCCCAAATCCAAGCCTGTTGTCTTGGCAATGCCTTTTCCCCAAGGCAGCAAAAGCAGAGCGTATTCTAAGCAGGGATGGTGTCAGTGGCAGCTGGTTTAGCTCTTTGGAGCTCCACTCCCTCTCCTCCTTGGATGGATTTCTTTCTCTCGGGTTTGCTCTCCAGTGCCAGGAAAGGGGGGGTTCACCTGCCCGGCAGCTCCGCCGGTACCTGACACCTTGAGCTCCCTCTGCTGACCCTGCAACGGCAAATTAAAAACCAGCTCCGTGAAAGTCGCTTAAAAAGAGACCGATTTCAAACTGAAATGCCCAACCTAGGCAGGGATTTTGTGCCCCAATGCTTAGATTCTTGCCTGTATTCCATATTTATGGAGGACTGGCTGTGGGGTCAAGCAGAGCTGTTATTTAAAGTGTATCACAGGACTGATTATCTTCTTCACTTCTTGTCCTTCTAGAATTTCAAATGAGGTTCAAGGCTGGTGTATAAATGTATTGTGTTGTTTGAAATCACCTCTTTTTAGCTACTGATTTTGGACAGAAACCAGTACTTTAGGTATAGCTCTGCACACAAATACCATAAACTGCACCAAGGGGGTTATTGGTAGTGGTTATTACTATTCTCTAACGCCAACCACAGATATTTGTCAATTATTTGAACACCATGTGGCTGCTTTGGGCACATGTGGCCAGTTTTTACCCTGACTCATAGGACTTTTAGTTTCTTAATGTCTCCTCCAGAGCTGTTGCTTAATTTCTCCTTCAGAGCTGTTGCTTTGAGGATTTGCCCTGAGGACTCTGATATTTGGAAATAAATGTCCAAAATCCGTGCCCTGCAGCAGAGAATCCCTGAGTCTTGAACACATAAACTGAGTCAGACATATCCCACGATCAGTAAGGTTGGAAAACACCTCCAAGACCGTGACTCCACCAACTCCCTGGGGGTAAAACACCCCCAGAAAATCCCATGGTTGGAAAGACGAAAAATCTGGAAGATGGTGGTGGTTTGGTGATGTTTCCCTGTGGGAGGGATGATGCATTTACAGTCTCTTTAAACTTGTGTTGGCATTGAGGCTGTAAATGCATAAATGGAATACAATCTAAATTCTCCTCCAAATCAGCCCAGGTTTCCAGCCCCAAGAGGCAGCTGCTGCTGGGTGGACTCTCCTTTCCCCTGCCTGGATCACTCACTCCTGGCTGTCCATGTTTATAAAATGAGGAGCATCCACCTCCTCTCAGTTCTGCTGAACAGCAAATTTCCTTTCACACCCTCCTCATAAAATGCCTCTTTTTTGTTGTGGGGCCCTTGGTGACCTCCTGAAAGCTCTGCTGCTGTGATCAATTTTCCCTCATCTCTCACTTTCTTGTTCAGATCAGATATTAGAACAATTTCTCCCTGCAGGAGTGGCCAGGCCTTGCAAGAAGTGTCCCAGGGAGGTGGTGGAGTCCCTGTGTCTGGGAGTGTCCCAGAGGTGTCTGGATGTGGCCCTTGGGGACGTGGATTGGGGTGATCCTGGTGGTGTGGGACTGTGAACCTTTCATTACCAGAACCATTATGTCATCAGAGAATGTGCCTCAGGGTGTGCTCTTCAAACTGATTTTAATTCATTTCTTTTCACCTTCTTTGATTTTAATTAAGTTGTTTTCAGCTCCTACCCTGTCCCCTTGAAAACTCCCTCACCAGAAAGTGCAATTCTGCATTAACATGGGATCCTTGTCCAGAGGGACCGTGGAGATGCTGCCAAGGGCTGGAGTCCCTCAGCTCTGGGACAGGCTGGGAGAGCTGGGGGGGTTCACCTGGAGAAGAGAAGGATCCAGGGAGACCTGAGAGCCCCTCCCAGGGCCTAAAGGGGCTCCAGGAGAGCTGGAGAGGGACTGGGGACAAGGGATGAAGGGACAGGACAAGGGAATGGCTCCCCACTGCCAGAGGGCAGGGATAGATGGGATATTGGGAAGGAATTGCTGGCTGGGAGGGTGGGCAGGCCCTGGCACAGGTTGGGCAGAGAAGCTGTGGCTGCCCCTGGATCCCTGGAAGTGTCCAAGGCCAGGTTGGACGGGGCTTGGAGCAGCCTGGGCTGGTGGAAGGTGTCCCTGCCCATGGCAGGGGTGGCACTGGGTGAGCTTTGAGGTCCCTCCCAACCCAAACCTTCCCTGATTCTGACTCTCTCTAAATGTCACTATTTGAGGAACTTGCTTTTTTCAGCCACTGTGGTCTTTTTTTCACAACAGCTATTTACAGCTCTCAGTATGGTGCCTGGGCATTTAAATTAAGGGTGCATTTCAGCCACCAAGACATGCCTCTTCTTAGAAATTTTGATCTGCAAGCCAAGTTTATCTCCAGCAGATATGGGGTGTTCGTCTCTCCCCATAAGTCCAGCTGGGTTTGCTGATTATATAAAGTGCTCTGAGCAGGCTGTTTGCATGACTAACTGGCTGCACTTCCTCCTTGTCTCAAGAAGACGATTTCATCAGGAGTTCCTGTAAATGAATCACTAAAAACATTTTTTTTTTTTTTATTTTAAGCCTCCCAGCCTGCTGAAATGCAGATACTCCTGGAAGCTCAAGGCCTCCAGGAAATCCTTTTCTAGTTCTCAATTTACCAGTAAACATCTAAAATCCTGCTCTGGTTCAGAACACAGGGAGGGATGTGTTGCTTTTTTCCTTTGTCATCTCTCCTTTTAACAGGCACAAAGAGTGTTACCTGAGCCTCATATGAAATCATGGAATCATAGGATGGTTTGGGTTGGGAGGGACCTCAAAGCCCATCCAGTGCCACCCCTGCCATGGGCAGGGACACCTTCCACCAGCCCAGGCTGCTCCAAGCCCCATCCAACCTGGCCTTGGACACTCCCAGGGATCCAGGGGCAGCCACAGCTTCTCTGCCCAACCTGTGCCAGGGCCTGCCCACCCTCCCAGCCAGGAATTCCTTCCCAATCTCCCATCTATCCCTGCCCTCTGGCAGTTTGAAACCATTCCCTGTGTCCTGTCCCTCCAGGTCCAGTTTGCTGCTGTGCCTGGGAGTAGGAGAGGAGAACCTGGAGCTCAGCAGGGCCAAGCTCCTGCTGGGACACATTTGTATTAACTGCTAAAGGAATACAAGTATTTCCTGCCTTTTGCCTGGATATCAGCTGCTGACTGGTGTGTCCTGGGGTTACAAACACTGCCCTTTGCCACCACATGGAAATACCAAGTGTGGCAGCTCCAACTTTCCAGTTAAAACTCCAATCTCTTCCCTGGGGTGACAGGGAATTGTCTGTATCTTTAGGTGTAGAACTTTCCAATGCTCGAGAAGAGAAGGATCCAGGGAGACCTGAGAGCCCCTAAAGGGCCTAAAGGGGCTCCAGGAGAGCTGGAGAGGGACTGGGGACAAGGGATGGAGGGACAGGACACAGGGAATGGCTTCCCACTGCCAGAGGGCAGGGATGGATGGGATATTGGAACCAAGATGTCTTGCTGAATTGGAGATGCCCCTTTACACATCTAAATACCCTTCCACGACCTCCAAAAGGCCCCAGTTGGCAGAGGAGGGTCCAGATCGTCCCAGCTTTCTCACAAACCTCAGCAGAGCCACCACAGCAAAGCTTGCAGGGGGAGGGTTTGAGGCTGACCAGACCAGTCTGGGTTTTCTGTAAGACCCTTCCTTTTCGTGTCAGGCCGGTATCAAACAGCTCAGTTCCATTTCTCTTCCAGGAAGAAGACTGAAAATCCAAGCAGCAAACACCGGGAGTTGCTGTTAATGAGGTAAGAGTTTGAAGAGCTTTTGGTTAATTGAGTCTGGAATTTGTTTAAGGCTTTGCTGAAGTGTGGTTTGAATAGGAAGGAGATTCTTCTGCTTTATTTGCTTCCTTATTTCAGTTTCTTAACTGAGTGTGGTTCTTTACACAAGATGTCTGGAAGAGGAGGGGGAAGGAGGAACACAAGGAAGGGATTGATTTGCCTCTCAAACCACTGTGATCCTAAAATTGTTCACCTCCCAATCTCTACCTGATGTAAGAGGTGTCCCTGAGTCTGTCAGTGGATTCCTTCCAGCTTTATCCGTGTGTTATTTTTGGAGAACTTCCTTATTTTTCCTGAATTCAAATATATTTTCAAGGTTCTGCACCAGAAATTTGGCTGCAGAAAAATCCCAAGATCATTTATCCCTTCCTATCTGATTTGACATTGACTTTGCTTTCTGCTCCCTAAGCTCAGGGAAAATAAAGCAATGTACAGAATTATCTCTGAATCTGTAGGTTCTACAGATTTCCTGGGTTCACAATGTCAGGATCAGATGTTGCATCTCCTCCAGCTCTCTCTTCTCTCCATGAAATGCCTTTATTCTCTGTTCTCTCTGCTCTCCTTCAGCTCCCAGTTTTAAGAAGTCATCCCTCATCCACTGAGCCATCCCTCACCCACCACATATTCCAATTTTTCATGAAGGCACAACCATTTAGATGTCCCTTCTAACAGAGAAGACCCTCAGAGAGTAATTTCTTGGGCTTTGGCTTGAGGAAGCTCAAGGTAAGAGAGAGATCAGCTGGGAGGAAACCCAAAGGCTGCCCAAGTTTCCTCTCTGGGCTGGCAAAGGGCAAACCCTCACGACAAGTTCTGGGATTTCTGTAACAAACAGTGTCTGTCAGCAGAAGGGAGGAGGGAAACCCCACTGCCTCAGTCACCCCTCGAGTTTCTTTAGCTTCGAGTTGCTCCACGTTTCCTCTGTGAATCAAAATCTGAGTGCATGAATTTGAGATGCCACTCAAATTAATGTGCCTTCTGAACACGCTGGTTTGCTGTTTAATGTTCCTGCTTGGAAGCTGCCAGTGGCTGTCACAGCTCGGCCTGGGCGCCTGTCCCAGCACTGCCCCTGCGGTCGCTCCGAGGGTGAATGGCTGGAATTGCTGCGCTGGCTCCAGCGGGGAGTGTGGTGATTAAAGGATCCGTGTCAGCACAGCCCCGGCGCCAGGGGAATCCCAACGCCAAGCGCCTGGAGCAGACGGTTTCGGCAGAACCGTTCAGAGAGGTGAATCACATCTTCCCAGAAGGGTTCAGGACAAGGTCAGACATGTGGAGTGCGGAGAAAACAAGCTCAGGCTCTGACTGACTGACTGTAATCTCCATCATCGCCTTTCGGCTCGTTTGATGGCGATCATCAACCAATCAATCGTCATTTTGCAGTGTTTCCTCCCTCCCCCCCTTTTTTTTTTAAGTTCTCTTTTCTAACATTCGCCATTTGTGTCAGCGTTAAAAGGCTTTGCCTGAGGTTCTGACCTGATTTATTCCTGCTGCTCCCTGCAGACGGAGGATCTCTGCCCTCAGAGCTGCAGGAGATAAGAGCAGGGCTAAGAGAAAGGGAGAAATCTCTCCTGCGATGGGGAAAGGGCTGAAGTACGGCGGAAATCGGGTGACTCATCCGAGCTCCTTTGGGAATCAAAGCTGAGCGCTCTGACCACGAGGCTCTTTCCTTGTGCCAGCTCTGCTCAGGAAATTCAGGCAGCCAAACATCATCTGTACTAACTAAAGATGTTTTAAGCACCCTAACCCTGCGCGGTTTCCTCTGTTGGCAATCCTGATGATTGCCTAATAATAATAATAATAGTAATAATAATAATAGTAATAATAATACAAACCGCCCATATTTTCTCTCTGAAGTGTTTGAGAGTATTTCGACTTTGTTCAGGAGACACATGAAATGCCCCCCTGCTTTATGGTGCTTTTAACTAAAGCCGCGTCAAAGCTCTTACATTAAAACCTGATTTAAAACCTAAAAATTAAAAGCCCTGCTAGTGATTATTCTAAAACAACGCGTCTATTAAGCAGCAATGGTCGGAGGAACGCAGCCTCCCGGCTCCACCTCCGGCGTTTTTAACCCGAATCTTGGGTTATCAGCAGCATCAGCGAAGGGGTGCGGTTGGGGGTAACCACGGGCTGGTGTCACGCTCGATGCACCCGGAGAAAAGCGGGGAACTTCAACCACTTCATGGCGAGATTTTCTCACATCAACCGCACGCAGGGGCAGGGACCGGGACGGGGCCTGGGGAGAGGGCTGGGGAAAGGGTTGGGGCAGGAGCAGGGACAGGGAAAGGGGCAGGGAGAGGGGTAAGACAGGAGCCAGGGAAGGGGAAAGGGCTGGGACAGGGACAGGGACAGGGGCAGAAGAGGGAGTAGGGGCAGGGAGAGAGACAGGGACAGGGGAAGGGAAAGGAGAGCGGCCGGGGGAGGGACAGGGGCAGGGATAGGAGTAGGGATAGAGACAGGGGAGGGACAGGGGCAGGGATAGGAACAGGGGAGGGACAGGAGCAGACGCAGGAAAGGGAGAAGGAGCAGAACAAGGAGCAGGGCAGAGACAGGGGCAAGGGCCGGAGCAGGGGCAGCGCTCGGACGGTGGCACATCCCACCCCAGCGCCGATCCCGGCTCAGCGCGGGTTCCCACCGGGCCCCTCCCGAGCGGCTCAGGCGGGGCCCGGGCGGGCTCTGCCTCCCGGGGGCGGAGGAGGAGGAGGAGGCGGCGGAGGTGGAGCCGGACGGAGCTGCCGCTCCGCGCTCCGCCCGCACCGGGCCCGGGTAGCGTGCGGCCCCGGCCCAGCCAAGCCCGGCCCGGCCCGGCCCGGCCGCTCCGCGGGCACCGGCGGGCGCTGCCAGGAGGGCCATGCCGGGCCGGGTGCCCCTCCGAGCCCTCCTGGTCCTCTTCCTCCGCATCCTCCTCCTCCTGGGCTCGGCGCGGGCCGCGGGCGCAGGTGGGTGCCGGGGATGGATGCGGGGGACACTGGCGGGGGCGGGGGAGTGCGGGCGGGTGCGGGGGAATGCAGGGGGAGCGGGGGAATGCAGGGGGGTGCGGAGGGAGTGCAGGGGGTGCGGGGGAGCGGGGAAAGTGCGGGGTGAGTGCAGGGGAGTGCGGGGGAGTGCGGGGGTGCGGAGGAGTGCAGGGGGTGCGGGACGCGGGGGGAGGCGGGGCGCGGGTGGATGAGCGAGGGGGGCGGGTCCAGCTGCTCGGGGCCGAGGCCGTGCCCGATGCCATGCCCTTTCCCGGGGCCGTGCCCGATGTGGAGCCGTGCCCGTTCTGGGGGCCGTGCCCGATGCTGTGCCCATGCCCGTGGCCATGCCCGATGCTGTGCCTGTTCCCGATGCTGTGCCCGTACCCGATGCCGTGCCCGTACCCGATGCTGTGCCCGTACCCGATGCCGTGCCCGTACCCGATGCTGTACCCGTTCCCGATGCCGTGCCCGTTCCCGATGCCGTGCCCGTTCCCGATGCTGTGCCCGTTCCCGATGCCGTGCCCGTTCCCGATGCTGTGCCCATGCCCGTGCCCGTGCCCGGGGCTTCCCCGCGCGGTTCCTCCCGCCGGGTTTCCGGGGCTGGGCCGGGGGCAGCGGGGCCGGGGCTCAGCCCGTGCCCGGAGCGGCCCCGGGATGGGGATGGGGACGGGGATAGGGATGGGGATGGGGATGAGGACAGGGGCAGTCCGGGGGGTCTCGCCCCGCCGGAGCGCTGAGCGGGGCCGAGCCCGGATGTCTTTGCCGATCCTGGGAATGCTCCTCCCAAAAACCCCGCTGTTGGCCGGGCTGACCGGTGCGGGTCCAGCCTGGAGGGGCTCGATTCGGTGTCGGTGATGCGGCTGAGGGTTGTGAGGTGGCGCCTGGTCGTTCATTAAACTCCGATTTCATGGCTCGACGCTAGGATTGGATTTGGATTCCATGGAAATGCTTTGCCACAGTGGGGGAGGTTTGCTCTGCAGGCCGGGTCTGGGATGGAGCTCAGCAGGGTAATCCCGGCTCCAAATGCATGTCCAGGGAGTGCGGAAGAGCTGCTGGGACGTGCCGTGTTCCAGGGCTGGAGCCCCTCTGCTCTGGAGCCAGGCTGGGAGAGCTGGGGGGGCTCACCTGGAGAAGAGAAGGCCCCAGGGAGACCTGAGAGCCCCTTGCAGGGCCTAAAGGGGCTCCAGGAGAGCTGGAGAGGGACTGGGGACAAGGACATAGAGACACAGGACAAAAGGGAATGACTTCCCACTACCAGAGAGCAGGGACAGATGGGATATTGGGAAGGAATTGCTGGCTGGGAGGGTGGGCAGGCCCTGGCACAGGGTGCCCAGAGAAGCTGTGGCTGCCCCTGGATCCCTGGAAGTGTCCCAGGCCAGGTTGGACGGGGCTTGGAGCAGCCTGTGCTGGTGGAAGGTGTCCCTGCCCTTGGCAGGGGTGGCACTGGGTAATATTTCATGTCACTCCCAGCACAAACCAGTGTGGGCCTGAGTGAGGTGTGCACACAGGCTGGTGCTTGCTCAGGCACAAAGGTTCCTCCATGAGTTCGTCACGTCCCCGTCCCATTTCCTGGTATTGGTCAAGGTTTGGCCATCCAGCCTGGCACTGCTGTGCCCTGTGGGGCTCTCCAGCTGTCTGGGGACAGCTGCTGTTCCAGACCTGCTTGGCTGTTCTATGGCAAGCCAGGGCAGGACCTACTGCAGGCAGTGTTGACCACTTGGATCCCATCAGCAGCAGTGGGATTTCCCAGGGAGCTCTTAGAATCATAAAATCACAGACTGGTTTGGGTTTGGAGGGACCTTAAAGGTCATCTCATTCCACCCCCTGCCGCGGGCAGGGAACCTTCCACTAGAGCATGTTATGAGATGAGAAGCCGATTTGGTGCTCTAGAACAGCAAAAGTCCATAAAAAAAATCCCCAAACCCACAGATTTCTGGTTTTGCCAGTTTAGCAAAACCCTGATTTCTCAGGCTGGTGCGAGGAGAAGGGAAGGGCACAGGAATCTCTGAGGACAGGACGGAGCTGAGCTGCTTTCACACACTGTAACTTGTGGCTTCACACTCTGCTGTGTGAAAGCTTTGAATTGTGGTGTGAGCCTCAGGAAGTCTCTGCAGCAGGAAAAAACAATCTGAACATTGTTTGGCAGCTGCTCTGAAAGAATCAGGTGTGGGAAAACCCCCCCCCGTCTCTGGGCAGAAGGGAAGGAGGGAGCATTGCAGCCTTTCTCTGCCTGAGGTAGTTTGGGTTTCTGGGATTCCCGGGTCTGTAGGTGCTGGGTTTGAAGTGTTTGTTTTGTTATTTTGGGTAATTTATTTTGTTATTTTGTTAATTATGGAAAACAGAGATGGTGAAGGAGCTGAGTGTGTGATTTCAGACAATGAAGTCACTGCCCTTGTCAGGGGGCGAGATCTGAGGGAAATCCGAACGAGTTCCCTGGGTGTGTTGTGGAAGCAGCTCCTCAGGGAGCAGTGAGGGTCCCCTGGCACGAGGCATCCTCGTGTTCAACTGCACAGCCAGAGTTCTGATGACTTTGTCAGGGTTTTTTGGCTGGCAGGGGAAATGATGTGTTTCTGAACACTAATGTGGGGCAAAGCAGCCCGTGTGCAGACATGGCATCCCAGACTGAGCTGGGTGGGAAGGCACCTTAAGTATTACCCATGGGCAGGGACACCTTCCACCAGCCCAGGGTGCTCCAAACCCCCTCCAACCTGGCCTTGGACACTTCCAGGGATCCAGGGGCAGCCACAGCTTCTCTGGGCAACCTGTGCCAGGGCCTGCCCACCCTCCCAGCCAGGAATTCCTTCCCAATATCCCATCTGTCCCTCACCCTTCATTGGTCTTTTCTGTCTTTGTTTAACAGGGGGTGAATTGCTGCCTCTGGGGTTTCGTTCTCAGAGCTGTCTGGGATTTGGTGACACGAGTGTCACCTCTGAGAGCACAGTGACTGATGGTGTGAGATACCTCACCACATGCCACACCAGCAGTGAGAGTGAGAGAGAGAATCTGTGGGACTGGGAAGTGAAAACCTCTCATGAATGAAGGTTCCTGGGGCCTTTAGAGCACCCAGGAGACCAACAGTGTCGGGGGCTGGAAGGAATCTCAAACAGACTTGCAGTGCTGAAGGAGGTAGTGGGGCCTGGGGCCCTGTGGGTTTGTGAGAGCAGCACTCAGACTTGAGGCTGAGAAATTACTGACACACCTAATTAAACCTTTGGGAGAATCCCAGACTGGTTTGGGTTGGGAGAGACCTTAAAGCCCATCCAGTGCCACCCCTGCCTGGAGAAGAGGAGGCTCAGGAGGGAGCTTTTCACTCTCTCTGACTCCCTGACAGGAAGGGCAGGGAGGGGGGTTGGGCTCTTCTGCCACATCCCAAGGGAAGGGAGGAGAGGAAATGGCCTCAAAGTGCCCCAGGGCAGGTTCAGAGAAGAGATCAGAAACAATTTCTCCCTGCAGGAGTGGTCAGGCCTTGCAAGAAGTGTCCCAGGGAGGTGGTGGAGTCCCTGTGTGTGGGAGTGTCCCAGAGGTGTCTGGATGTGGCCCTTGGGGACGTGGATTGGGGTGATCCTGGTGGTGCTGGGGTGGGACTGGGTGAGCCTGGAGGGCTCTTCCAGCCTTGTTTCTGTGATTCTGGGAGCTTAATTTATGGTTTCATGGGGCTGGGTGGGGTTTGTTGTTTGGTGCTGGACTTGGTACTTTGGTACTTTCAGCATTATGTTCTGCATGGAGTGAATAAAACCAGGGAGTTCAGCTCATGGAAACAGGGAATCCCAGACTGGTTTGGGTTGGGAGGGACCTTAAGTATTACCCAGTGCCACTCCTGCCATGGGCAGGGACACCTTCCACCAGCCCAGGCTGCTCCAAGCCCCGTCCAACCTGGCCTTGGACACTTCCAGGGATCCAGGGGCAGCCACAGCTTCTCTGCCCGACCTGTGCCAGGGCCTGCCCACTGAATTGTATCAGTACCAGAGCAGCTGGAAACGAGGTGAGGAGGAGGAGGAGGAGAAATGGTTTTGCCTGAGAAGCAGTGAAAGGTGGTGTGTGGTGATAGTACTGCAAATGTGGCACGTGATGATAGCAGTGAAACTGTGGCATACGGTGATGGACACCAACATTTGGTCACCGTGCGCTTGAACGTTTCAATAATTATTTTTCTTCTTCTTCTTTCTTTAGAACCTTCTCCCCATTTAGCAGCTCCAAAGAATGTGGAGGTTTATTCCTACAACTTCCACAGTGTGCTGAGATGGTCTCCAGGGGGGACAGACTCGGTGTTATACACAGTGCACTATAGAACGTGAGTAAACAGTTCTGAAAGCAGCTCATTTTGTCCCAGTTCAGTAACACAGTTGGTTTTAGAACCCTGAAAAGTGTAAATATGAATAAGCACAGAAAGGAGAGTATGTTTTTGTCACAGATGCTTTGATGTGTCTTCGAAAGCAGCTTCTGAGAGGCTGTGATGTGTCCACCGAGCTGAGGAAAGGTTGAAGTCATGAAGAGCAGCCAGAAATGTCGACCAGTTCCCTGCGGAATTTTAGTCTGATTCTCTCTGCTCAATTTGAATTTTCCCATTTAAATTTAATTTTCCCTGGGGAGATGGAGATGCTGAGAGGGCCGTGGGGTTCTGCCCAGGTGAAAGCCGTGGTCTTGTAACGTGTTATTTTCTTGCCAAAATCATCTGGGCGGGAGGGGTTGTGTTTTAGGTGCTTGCACCGTTCTGCTGGTGGTTTACTCGTGCTTTTTTGGCACAGCAGAGGGGCCTTTCCTGTCTGGAATGAGATGAACTGCACCCGGATCCCCCAGACCGAGTGTGAGTTCCCCCTGGAGATTCGGAAGCGGCGCTGGACGATCCTCCTGCGAGTGAGGGCTGAGCAGGGCCAGGACTGCTCCGACTGGGTGGAGACCCCGCCCTTCGTGGCAGAGAGGGACAGTGAGTGCTGGGTTTGCTGCCAGTGTCTGTCTCTCTCTCTCCGAGGAGGTTTCTTTGAGAAAACCGCTCTGCATTTTTGGCTCTGTCGTGCAGAGTCAAAGGGAGAGGGTTGGAGGTGTTTGCCCACAAAGACAGCGAGGTCTCAGCAGGATTTGATACTCCCCTGGTGCTGCTGTGGTGGCTCAGGGCTGTCTCAGCAGGTGTCACGAGACAAACATGAGTTTCCTGGAGGGGGGGTTTGAGCCTTCCCGGAGCCACAACCTTCTTTTGGTGGAGGGTTTTCCATTTTCTCATTTCCCCACTGAGCTCCTCCCACATGAACCCCTTGGACTCGTGGCAGTCTGGGGCAAACCCACCTGCTTCTGCTGAACAGATCCCTGCCCTGATAAATAGCAGTGGTCTGATAAATGTGAATTGTCCTCATAAATAGAAATTGTCCTGACTGCAGTGTAGAGGTGTCAAGGACACTTTTTAAATTATAGAAACCAAGATTGGTTTGGTTTGAGAGTGACCTTAAAGTTCATCCAGTCCCACCCCCTGCCATATGCAGGGACACCTTCCACTAGACCATGCCAGGAGTGATTTTGCTGTTAGTAAGTACCACTGGCAGTACTCTATTAGTATTTTTCATGATTTAGACCTCAAAAGTATTTCACAAAAGGAAACCATCATGTTTACCATGCAGGTCAGATGGAGACATCAAATCAAGGAGGGGTAAAGCAGTTATTTCTCTTCCAATCTATTGACTCAAAGCACTGTGGTTTTTAGGGAACGTGGAATTTGTGGCAGGCTGAGCAAAGGGAAAAAAATGGCCGGTAACTTCAAATGAACTTGGGGATTTTCTAGTTAATGTTTACTAAATTACTGGGGATAGTTAGATAAACACTGTAAATGTTTTAAGTACATGAGGAAGTGTTTTCCCTTTCTTGAGTGAAAGCTGTTGAAATGTATTGTGTTTGCTGGGAGTGTCCAAGGGAGGGAAGGGAGCTGGGAAGGGGCTGGAGCAGCAGGAGGGGCTGAGGGAGCTGGGGGGGCTCAGCCTGGAGAAAAGGAGGCTCAGGGGGGACCTTCTGGCTCTGCAATCCCTGCCAGGAGGGGGGAGCCGGGGGGGGTCGGGCTCTGCTCCCAGGGAACAGGGACAGGAGGAGAGGGAACGGCCTCCAGCTGTGCCAGGGGAGGCTCAGGTTGGCCAGGAGGAGGAATTTGTTGCTGGCAAGGGTGGTCAGGCCTTGGCAGGGGCTGCCCAGGGAGGTTTGGAGTGCCCAGCCCTGGAGGTGTCCAAGGCAGGCCTGGCCGTGGCACTCAGTGCTCTGGGCTGGGGGACAGGGTGGGGATGGGGCACAGGGGGATCCATGGGCTGGGAGGGCTTTTCCAGCCTCAGGGATCCTGTGGAGCTGCAGCCAGTCCAGGAGCTGCTGTTCATCCTGGGGGTTCACTGCTCTCTCTGTGTTTGTTTCCAGCCACTCTGGGCCCCCCCAAGGTGAACAGGGTGAGTGCCAGCTCTGACTCGCTGCTCCTCAGTGTCAGCCCCCCTTTCACACCCGAGCCTGGGGACAGTTTTCAGTACCGTGTGTTCTACTGGGAGAACTCAACAAGTACCACGAGAAAGGTGAGAGTTCTCTCTTATTTCCTTTGTTCCTCGTGCCTTGGAGACCGAGATGTGAGTCAGTGGCTCTTGGCAAAACGACAACTGGAGGAAGAAAATGCCTGTATTTTGTCTCTACCAATGAGTGTCACCATGTGGAGTCTTGGGAGGTTAATTTGGCCTTGACACAAGTGCTGCTGCATTCTCAAACTTAACCCCCCATCTTCCTCTCCTCCTTTAGGAACAAAGGCTAAATCCCATGGCAGATCAGGGTAGAGAATCTGTGTCAAAGGTGACTTTTGATTCCAGAGTTTGCTTAGGGAAGTGTGGGAAACTGGAATCTCCTCCCTCCTTTCCTGTGCTGGGAGCTGCAGGAGCAGCTGCTGGGGCCTCATGTGCCTGTTCCCAGGGCAGAGAAGGTTGTTGGAAACATGCTGGGATGAGCTGGCCCTGTTCATCCTGAGACTTGGTCCCATCCTGTGCTCCTGCTGCTGCCTGGGGCCTTGGGAACTGTGTCAGTGCTGCAGGGGAGGTGCTAAGTTTAAAAAAAAAAGGAGGAAGAAGCTTCCAGATGACATCATTCTGAAGTCAAATATTTAAAAAGCAGAAGCAGAAAAATATTAATTTATTTAAGAGAAATATCAACATTTAAAAAAAACCCTTTTGCTTCAAAGACCTTAGTAAGTCACCTCCCTCTCCTTCCTGTTTTGCACCCATGTGTTATTTTTCTGACACACACACGCAGTACCTTCATTTGAGAGGCAGGGAAGAAATGGGGAAGGCTCCACTCAGGGTTTAATTTTTCCCTGCCCACCTCCCCCATATTCTGCTCTTTGCCTGAGCTGCTGCATCAGAACATCCAGGAAAGCTGGAATATATTTCACTGCTCCTCTTGTGTGGGAGAGCTGAGTGATGGAAATAAAAAAACCCACTGAGTTTTTTGAATGGGAAATGTAAATGAGGGAGGATGTCTGTGTTGGGAACAAGGCTGGGTTTACAGTAACACCTGTTTGTGTTTCAGTCTTTTGAACAGGAACAAGAGGCACACAGGACACTATTGCAAATTGAAAAACTAAAGGAATCGACACTTTATTGCTTTAGCCTTCAAGTAGAATTTGAGGGAGTCTTTGGCAACCTGCTAGGACAGGAAAGCGCCCCGAAGTGTCACAGAACTGCCATCAGTGGTATGTGGGGTTGGGGGGTTTTGTGTCGAGGGGGATGAGGTAGAACGTGAGTCCTGGATCACCTGAGCTGCTCCCTGTCTGCCAGGAGTGCCGAGGGACCACGGAGCTCACAGCTGTCATTAACGGCAAAATAATCAGGACTCCTCAGTCAGGAACTGAGGGTCTGTGTTGTGCTCTTCCCCTTGTCCTTTTCCTTCATAAATCCTGCTGGAATGTGGGAAAATGGAGTTTGGCCCCTCTGGAAATCTGAAGCTGATCCCAGGGCTGGAGCCCCTCAGCTCTGGAGCCAGGCTGGGAGAGCTGGGGGCATTCACCTGGAGAAGAGAAGGATCCAGGGAGACCTGAGAGTCCCTTCCAGGGCCTAAAGGGGCTCCAGGAGAGCTGGAGAGGGACTGGGGACAAGGGATGGAGGGCCAGGACACAGGGAATGGCTTCCCACTGCCAGAGGGCAGGGACAGATGGGATATTGGGAAGGAATTGCTGGCTGGGAGGGTGGGCAGGCCCTGGCACAGGTTGGGCAGAGAAGCTGTGGGTGCCCCTGGATCCCTGGGAGTGTCCAAGGCCAGGTTGGACGGGGCTTGGAGCAGCCTGTGCTGGTGGAAGGTGTCCCTGCCCATGGCAGGGGTGGGATGAGATGATCCTTTAAGTCCCTCCCAACCCAGACCATTCTGTGATTCCGTAAGGATGAACCCACCATGGGTACACAGATTTTTTTGTCGTTTTCCAGAGGCAACCAGAGCTGGACACATCACCCTGCTGTGCCTCTTGGGGTTAGTCCTTGTAAATCTGGCGACAGCCGTTTTGCTGCTCCTGTGGAAACACCGCCAGAAAGTCAAACAGTGGGCTCAGCCACCCTTGAAAATCCCCTCACACTTCGAAGAGGTACGTGCAGAGGTTCTGTGGTTGTGCCCTAGAAGAGGGAAGAGGAACAGGGCAGTTGTTGCCCAACAGGAACAGCAGCTGTTGTGTCTCGGGGTGCTCCTGCTCTGCTGCTCTGGAGCTGTTCCTGAGCAGGGTGATCATTTACCCTGTGCTGACACAGCTCTTGTGTCTCGGGGTGCTCCTGCTCTGCTGTTCCTGGAGCTGTTCCTGAGGGGGATCATTTACCCTGTGCTGACACAGCTCTTGTGTCTCGGGGTGCTCCTGCTCTGCTGTTCCTGAGGGTGATCATTTACCCTGTGCTGACACAAACCCCGCTGGGCTTTCCTGCCAGCCCCGAGGCTGACCCCGAGCCGCTTCCCCTTCCCCTTCCTTGGCCTGGCTCGGCCCTCGGTTCTCAAACAGGGGCTCTCCGGGAGCTTTTCCCCTTCGTCCTGCAGTAAAGATAATTGTACCAGTATTAAATGTTATAAAATCATTGATGTTTTTAAAGTTAAAATATTGTAATTATTATTATAATTATTATAAATTTATATAAATTTTATATAATTATTATAATAACATGTTGTATAATATAAAATATTATAAAATAATAATTGTATTTAAATAGTAAAAGTAATTGTACCAGTATAAAATATTATAAAATAATATATATTCTAAAATATAAAACATCATAACTATCATAATAATACATTATAAATATAAAATATTATAAAATAATAATTGTATTTAAATAACAATAGTACTAGTGTAAAATATTATAAATAATTTATATACTAAAATATAAAATATAATAAATATAATACATATATCATACTTATAAAATATTATAAAATAATTTATATTATTCAATATAAAATATTGTAAATATTATAATACATTATAAATATAAAACATTATAAAAATAATAGTATTTAAATAGTAAAGATAATTGTACTAGTATAAAATAATATAAAATAATTTATATTATTCAATATACAATATTGTAAATATTAGAATAATATGTTATATAATATAAAACATTATAAAAATAATAGTATTTAAATAGTAAAGATAATTGTACTAGTATAAAATATTATAAAATAATTTATATTATTCAATATAAAATATTGTAAATATTATAATAACAATATAATAATAAAATAATAATTGTCTTTAAATAGTAAAGATAATTGTACTAGTATAAAATGTTATAAAATAATTTATATTATTAAAGATAAAATATTTTTAATATTATAATATGTTATATAATATAAAATATTAAAAATAATAATTGTATTTAAATAATAAATTAATTGTACCACTATAAAATATTATAAAAATATATTATAAAATATAATATAAAATATAATAAATATTATATTATAATTTATTATAACTATACTATGAAATATTATAAAATATTATAAAATATTATGATAAAATAATTGTATTAAAATAGTAAAAAATCCTTGTAAGTGTAATACAATAGGAAAAATATCCTTGTACAGGGTATTTAAATAGTAAAAATACCCTTGTGCTGGGTGGTAAAATAGTAAATAAAGTCTTTGTGTGTTAAAGTAGTAAAACAAATTTTTGTACAGGGTATTAAAATAGTATAAAACTCCTTGTAAGTGTATTAAAATAATAAATCCTTTAAAGTGTATTAAAATAATAAAAAACTTCTTGTAAGTATATTAAAATACTGAAAATAATCCTTGTATTAAAATAGTGAACAAATCTTTGTATGGGGTATTAAAACAGTAAAAAGTCCATGTAGAAGGTAATGGGGTGTTTAAAATAGTAAATAAAGTCTTTGTGTGTTAAAGTAGTAAAAAAAATTCTTGTACAGGATATTAAAATAATAAAAAAATCCTTGCAATTGCATTAAAATAGTAAAAATTTATTTACAGGGTATTAAAATAATAAAAAATCCTTTTAAGTATTAAAATAGTAAAAATGTCCTCATACAGGGTATTAAAATAGTAAAAATACCCTTGTGCAGGGTGATAAATAGTAAGGAAAATGGTAAAAAAATTCTTGTACAGGGTATTAAAATAGTAAATAAAATCCTTGTAAGTGTATTGAAATAATTTAAAATTTCTTATAAGTTTATTAAAACAGTGAAAAAATCTTTGTATGGAGTATTAAAATAGTAAAAATATAATTTTAAGTGCATTACAATAGTAAAAATACCCTTGTGCAGGGTGATAAAATAGTAAATAAAACCTTTGTGTGTTAAAGAAGTAAAAAAATTCTTGTAAGGGATATTAAAATATAAAAAAAATCCTTGTAAGTGTATTGAAATAATAAAAAAATCTTTGTAAATGTATTAAAATAATAGTAAAAATTCCATGTACAGGGTATTAAATAGTAAAAACATTCTTGTACAGGGTATTTAAATAGTAAAAATATCCTTTTGCAGGGTGTTAAAATAGTAAATAAAATCTTTGTGTGTTAAAATAGTAAAAATAATTCCTGTACAGGGTATTAAAATAGTAAAAAATCCTTATAAGTGTATTGAAATAGTAAATCAAATCCTCAAAAATGTATTAAAATAGTAAATCAAATCCTCATAAGTGTATTAAAACAGTAAAAAATAGTTGTAGAGGGTATTGAAATAGTAAAAAAAAAAGTGTAATATATTTAAACAGTAAGAAAATCCTTGTTCAGAGTTTTAAACAGTAAAAAAATCCTTGTACAATGATTTCAAATGTGAAAACAATCCTTGCACAGGGCATTAAGACAGTGAATAAAATCCATATAAGTGTATTAAAATAGTAAAAATATCCTTCTCCAGGGTATTAAATAGTAAAAATATCTTTGTAAGTGTAATAAAATAGTAAAAAAATCCTTACATGGATTAAGATAGTAAATAAAATCCTTTTAAGTGTGTTAAAATAATTTAAAAAATCCTTGTGTATTAAAATAGTGAACAAATCTTTGTACAGGGTATTAAAACAGTAAAAAATCCTTGTAGAGGGTAATAAAATAGTAAAAATATTCCTCTGCAGGGTATTTAAATAGTAAAAAAAAAAATCCTTGCACAGTATATTAAAATAGTAACTAGAATCTTTGCAAGTGTATTTAAATAGTAAATAAAATCCATGTGAGTGTATTAAAATGGTAAAAAAAAATAATTGAATTGGATATTAAAACAGTAAAAAAAAATTGTAGGGTATTAAAATAGTAAAAAAAAAAATATCCCTGTAAATGTATTAAATAGTAAAGTATCCCTGTACTGATTATGAATATAGTAAATAAAATCCTTGTAAGTGTATTAAATAGTAAATAAAATCCTTGTAAGTGTATTATTAAATATTAAATAATTAAATATTTAATTAATAATTTAATTAAAAAATTAAATATTAAATATTTGCAAGTGTATTATAATTTATTATTAAATATGTAAATATTTGTAAGTGTATCCTTGTAAGTGTATTATTAAATATTAAATAATTAAATATTTTAATTAATAATTTAATTAAAAATTAAATATTAAAAATTAAATAAATTAAATTTATTACCCTGTGCAGGGTAATAAAATAGTGGAACAAATGAAGGAGAACAAGGCAATGTGCTGACTTTCCCAACTGTGCCTTTCCAAGAGGCCTCTCTTGGGGTGCAGAATTCCCGTGGATCGGGGCAGTCCCGTGGGATTCCTGCAGGTGTTTGGGATCCCAGCAGGATCTGAGCTCTCGGGGTCCCCGTTCCAAGGAGCCCAAAAGCCACCCTGAGGTTCATTTCTGTCTGGACTTTGCTGAAATGGATGGTTTGGGGGGGTTTATGTTTTTAACACACCTGGAAAATGTTTCTATTCTAATTTATTTATATGTTCATAACACACCTGGAAAATGTTTATATTCTAATTTATTTATATGTTTATAACACACATGGAAAATGTTTCTATTCTAATTTATTTATATGTTCATAACACACCCGGAAAAATAATCCCCTTGTTCATCAGCCTTGAGGGGAGTGCAGAGGAAGTGGATCTTTAATTGGGAGCCACCAAGTTAACTTTGTGCCACCTTTCTGATGCTCTGTGCTTTGATTATTATCTGGGATGTGATGATTATCTGGGATGTGATTGTTATCTGGGATGTGATGATTATCTGGGATGTGATTGTTATCTGGGATGTGATTTTTATCTGGGATGTGATTGTTATCTGGGATGTGATTGTTATCTGGGATGTGATTGTTATCTGGGATGTGATGATTATCCTGGGAAAGCTCAGAGTGGGAGGGAAGGGGAGCAGAGAGGAGCCAAAGCCAGGGAGGGATGGCACCAGGGATTTGTGGGGACAGGGGAAGGTGCAGCTCTGCCTGACCTGGAGCAAAGCAGGCCCTGGGATCCCGTTTCTCCAGCAGCCGCTTGCTGGATTCCTGCAGCTGGAGGTTCAGAACTCAGAGGGATGTGCTTGAACCAACGTGAAAAGACTGGCCAAAATGTAATAAAAAAGCCCCCAAAACACCCAACCAGGACCTGCAGCTGCTTTAACTCACTGGAGTGATGTTTGTGTGATGGATTTTATTCCATCCCCCCCAGAAATAAGGGATTTTTAACTGGGTCAGCGTAGTTCCAAGGAAGTCCAGGGGGAATATTCACGTAGCTGTGGATCCTGACATGAAGCAACTCGATGTCTCTGGAATTTCTGACACGTGGACAGGGATCTGAACTGTTGTTTTCTGGATTCTTCCAGTTCCTCAGGGACCCTGGCATGCCTGGCTTGGAGGAGTTGGACAATTCCATGGAGGATGATCCCCAGGCTGTTGAAACTGGAGAAGGAATCCGAGCCTGGAGCAGCAGCCCAGGGTGACGACTCCTCATCCAGCACCTCCAGGCCCAGGGAAACCACTGAAGAGCCACCCCAGCGAGTGTCACCTGCTCCAGGGTTTCCAGCAGCTGCTCCTGTGGCGTGGCTGCTGCCAGGACAATCCTGAGCAGGACACGGACCCTGGGATGTGTTCCAGGGGCTTCTCCTGAGCTCCCCCAGCACCTCATTCTGCCAAAGACACTGGAAGGAGGAACACGGAAGGGAAACGAACACTAAAGTCCTAAAAAAGGTTAAATTCCCACCCCAGGTTGGAATAAAGCTTTGAGGAATAGCAGCACTTTACAGGAGGATGGAGGAGAACGTGGGATTTTTCAGGGAGTGAATCACTGCAATGTGAATTCCTTTTACAGTGGATTTTCTTTTGTTGGCAATAATACTCTTGTTATATCCACCCCACTCCGCTTCTCTGAATCATTTGCAGCGCGTGGCAAACTAAAAAGAGATTTGTTGGTCCTTCCGCTGCTCAGGATGAAGCTGTGCCAGAAACTCCTCCCAGAGAGGCCTCCTCCTGTCTGCTTCCTCCCAGCCTCCTGGAAGCATTAATCTGCTCCTGCAGCCACCCCAGTGTCCTGCACAGCCAAACAGACTGGAAAATAACACTTACAACATGAATCAGTCGTTATCAGACACTAAAACCTCTTGTTCACCTCCAGCAAAGGGAGAGCTGACTGAGAGAGATGCTTGGAGTGCCTTAAAGAAGGGCCCACGTTCAGCCTCCTGGGGGGTCTGGGAGGTGTCCAATAAAGCACAAAGAACAAGGGAGCCACTTCTGTACTAAAAAGATGGGGTTTAATTGATGATTTTCCCGGGTTTGATAGAAATTGTGTCAAAGAAAGAAAAGAAAATGGGCTTGTCTGTTTGCAAATCACTCCTTGGAGTCCCTGTCAGAGCTGGGGGTAACTGAGGTGATGCCATCCCAGCCTTTCCAGGGACACTCCAGGCCAGCGGCCAAAAGCTTTATCAGGTGTTTCCTTGCAGAACTGATGTAATCCCCTGGGATTAGGCAACCTGCTGACACAAGGGAGTTGTGTGAAGCCTGAGTCATGATTCGTGGCTGGAGGAACTGTCAGGAGCTGCAGAGCATCTGCTTTTAACCAGCCCTGTTCCCTGGGCTGGGCTGGGCACAACTGGGCAGCCACAGCTCACAGCAGCACCAACCCAATGCCCAGCAGAGGGCACGACTGTTAAACATCTCCTGGCAAAATATATATATATATACACATAATATATATGTATATCTATCTATCTATCTGTCCCTGAATAAACCCTACACTGGCCTTCTGTCAGGGATCCAAGTTATTAAATTTTGTTACACAAAGAGGCCAAAGTCAGAAACCACTTGCTTGGGGTACTGAAGAAGACACAAAGAATCCCAGACTGCTTTGGGTTGGGAGGGACCTCAAAGCCCATCCCAGTGCCACCCCTGCCATGGGCAGGGACACCTTCCACCAGCCCAGGGTGCTCCAAGCCCCGTCCAACCTGGCCTGGGACACTGCCAGGGATCCAGGGGCAGCCACAGCTTCTCTGGCCAACCTGTGCCAGGGCCTGCCCACCCTCCCAGCCAGCAATTCCTTCCCAATCTCCCATCTGACCCTGCCTTCCCTCCTCCAGGTGAGCACCTCCAGCTCCTCCAGCTCCCCCAGCCCGTCCTTGCCTTGTTGAAGTTCCAGTTTCAGGTACAAGGTCCAGTCACTGGGATTAGTTTTAGGCCACCCTCATTTCTCACCTTGCAAAAACCCAACCAGCATTCCCAGGCTCCCGTAGAAGAAACCCAGCAAAGCTGAAACCAAAAGCCTGGTGGTCCTTCCTCCGTGGTGTAAGCCATAAAACATCCTCTTCCTCCTTCTGTGCTCTCCACACAGAACAAACTGCATTTCAAACGTGAGATAAGCACATTTTAACTGGGGCAAAGGGCAGCCCTAAAGCTGGCAATTATTTCAAGGTAAGACTGAGAACAGTAAGTAAATCCATATCCCCACTGGAAACATTTACCTTTTAGGTAAGAAGGGGAAAAGTGCAGGAAAACTGTTCATTTATGAGCAAAAAGCTTCCCCTGGAGAAAACGACCCCTGTGTGATTAGAAGGATGTTGGTCTGACCCCCAGTTATTCTTGATATTCCTGAAGTATGACTGGCAGCAGTTTGTTGGAGTTTTTTATTCTAATACCAGGAAACACATTAAATACCAACTGCTATCTCTTACACTGAGCAGCATGAAATTAATTCCAAGGACTGTGGTGCCAGCAAATGTCCTTTGTGCCAGAGCCATCACAAGTCAGGAGTGGTTTGATTTGCCATGCAGAACCTGCTGAGTGTAGGGACTCACTTAAAAACCATAACCTTTTACAAAAAAAAAAAAAAAAAAAAAGCTACTTTATGTTTACCTGAACAATTATATAAAATTCTTAAAATCAGCTCTTATCCCAGCACAGCCCCTGCTCCAGGGATGGGCTTTGTCCTGTTTGCTCACTAACAGTTCACTGAAGCCTCAGACACAGGAGGAGGTTTGGAAGGTGAAACGATGGAAAGCCACGGGTGGGAAGGAAGAAGCCTGGAGATTCCAGCAGGAAAGCCTGGCAGGCTGCCATTCCCTTTGGAAGAGATCCAGTCCTATGTACATATTCACAAGTGTGTCCTGGGAGAAGAGGAGCTTCTTACAGAGCCTGGAATTTGTCTCAGTCCAAAAGCAAACCAGGACCAAGGAACTGTAAATTATCTACACACAGAGAACCAGGTGGTGACTATGGAGCAGATGGGGGGAGCTCAGCCCCACAGCTCTTCTGTCCTTCCAAACTTGTAGATCAGAGTACTGAGGGGAAAAAATCAAAGGAATAAAAATCAGACCACAAATAAGGTACTTTTAACAGTATTCTTCAACCTTACCCTGTAAATCAACAGCCCAGCACCTGCATTCCAGCCAGTGGCTGGGGCTGCTATCTGTGTTTTGTTTCCTGTGCATGGCTGAAGCTTTGGGAGCCAGCTGAAGCTCAAACAAAAAATAACCAGTTTCACAGCCCTTCTGAAGGGAAAAACTGGTATTTATGGAATTCTGGGACTGATCCACAGAGCTCCAGAGCAGCAAGTCTCAGCCTGGCACCTGGAACCAAGCTGAGCGTGGCACGTGCTGGGCTAAAATCAGAGCAATTCCATTTTTATGAGCCAATCCGAAAGAAAGTGGATCCTGTGGGGGAGAAGGCAGATCCAAATTACAAAAGCTCCATCCCTGGCAGTGTCCCAGGCCAGGTTGGACGGGGCTTGGAGCACCCTGGGCTGGTGGAAGGTGTCCCTGCCCATGGCACTGGATGATCCTTAAGGTCCCTCCCAGCCCAAACCAGTCTGTGACTCTAAATAAGACAAAAGATTTCAGGCACAGTGAAACTATTCTCAAAATCTGCCTCCAGCGATTTCCCACTTCAATCCCAGAAGAGATTCAGGAAGTGCTGTTTCCTGCAGGAACATCCCCAATTTCCCAGCCAGGGCATTGCTCCAGAGCCCACTGACCTCATTCCCTGCAAAGCATTGGATGTGGGACTGGAAGGAAAAGGGTCAGCACAGGAGTTTAAAAAAGGAGGTGATGTGGAATTTTTTCAGTGACTGATTTTCACTATTTAATGTTTTCAGTGCCTTTTATTAATAAAATCCCTGGATTGCAGAATGCATTCTCCATCTAAACAGTTATTACAGATAGCAAATCAGTTCAAAGTGTTATATGAGAGACTTAACAATATGAACTGAAATAAATCCAGTGTGCTGTTACAAAACACAGCATCATGCTCTTAGAAAATGGAATTATCACTCTCAATAACTGAAAGCTCAGCCACTGGAAGGAAATACAGGTAATATCAACCATCAGCTAACTGAGCCACTGGTGTGAAATAGGCTGGGAAGGGGCAATTGAATCTCCCACCTGGTTCTGCTGGGAGAGATGCCAAGGTACTTGCAGCACGTGATTGCCATTATCCAAAGGCACTGGCACTATCTCAGCCAGAAAACTGGCTGGGCCCACATTCCAGAGCTGGAAGTTCAGGGAGAGCAGAGAGAGCTGCACTGACAGGAGCGTGAGGGGAGGGCAGAGCCCCTCATGGGCTGGGAAGGGGCACAGCAAACCTTGGTTTTAAGCTCTGGAGCAAAGGGAGTAGAAAAAAAAAGAACTCCCTTTCCAGGAGTCTCGGTGTTGGGAAGCAGGTAAGCCCCTCTGGAAGGAGGGAAGTTTGCCCAGTTAACTCACCTGAAAAATATTAATGCATTTTGGAAGAAGACTGCTAAGCCAGGGTACACATTGGTGTCTGCAAAGGAAGGGACAAAGGGAAATGTTCAGCTCTTCAGCACTGGGAGGGGGGTCTGACACAGCTCACAGTGTGGCCTCTGACTGAAACCTGCACCCTGTGGCTTGGGTTTGTCAGACACCACACACACCTCCATGCTTTGGGACTGCCTGCCAAAAAAGCTGGCAGGAAAAGCCCTTTTCCAGAGGTGAAAGGAACCCAACCTACTCTGTGTGACGTAAGCTCCGAAGAGAATCCACATGGAAGCAATGAGGGATCCAAACATCAACATGAAGCCGATGAAGAGCCAGATTCGAGCACCTGCAGGGCAGATCAGAAGCTCTGAGAAGGTGGGGGTGGTTACCCATGGGGACAGACACCCAGCTGCTCCCTGCTGATGGTTAAACCCTGGATCAAGGGCAAACATATCCACCTGCTCGCCCACGGGAAAGGAAAAGTATTCTCCTTTTGTCTTGAGCTGGTTCAGGAATGGCACACAAAGAAAAGCATCACAGGCCAGTTCAGCTCTCAGTAAATCCCCCCAGGTTCCCTCTGAGGCATTTACAGATCCCCTGGAAAAGGCTGCTGGGAGCCACATGGGAAACAGGGCAGGAATGATGAATGGAAGCAGAGGGGAGAGCAGGCCCATGGACACCACACAGCAGGTGACACAGAGGGAGTGGGATGGCTGGGACCCATTCCTCAGGAATGTCTGCTCCAGAGCCCACCCAAGGCAGGAATTTACTTCTCCCAGCAGCCATCCAGGATTTGCAGAGGAAAGTTTAAGAAGCCAAGATATTCAGCAGCTGAATTTTTCCAAGTTCACCTTTTTAATAAAGACAGACCTTATCTCCAAGGGTTAATTCTGTAAAGAAATTAATTCACAGAATTCTCTCCTACTCCTTGTCTTCAGATTATTTGTTTCACCACCAATTGGTAAAAAAAAACCAGCACAGAAATAATCAGTCCTTCAGCTCAGTGTGACTTTCAGAGTTAATTTACCTGTTCTTCCTAAGCATCCATCACTGTAGCTGTCTCCTCTCACCTGTGCATTTGATACAGCATTTATCCTAGGGACAAAAAACAGTAGATACACTTCAGGTTATTAGAAAATCAATTTAAGTTCCAAGTTATAAATTCTGGAAAAAAAATTCCTAGGCATTCTGTATAGTCACAAACCCCAATTCCTCCTTTTTTCTTGCCAATATTGGGTGATTCAATAAAAGCTGTTACTTCTCCCCTGAGCTTCCAGATTGACATCTCCATGACAAGAGCCAGGCCATTACCTCTCCCATCTGAGGGAGTTCTGGGCAAGGAACAGGTGTAAAAATTGCTACAAAACAGGGGGAAATGCAGTCAAATGTATTAAGTATTAAGCATTGGAAATGTCCAAGGCCAACCTGGACAGGGTTTGGAGCACCCTGGGCTGGTGGAAGGTGTCCCTGCCCAGGGCAGGGGTGGCACTGGATGGGCTTTAAGGTCCCTCCCCACCCAAACCATTCCATGATCCTGTGATTTGTCCATACTTAGACATCTGTCCTGTACACCCTGGGCTGGACAGCTCGTGCTGAGTCGCTCAGAACCCCCCTGCCCCACTCACATGAAGAAGGCCAGCGTGGAGAAGACCCCGCAGGTGTGGAAGGCGTGGTTGAGCTGCTCCGGCTTGGGGTACACCACGGCAGCGTCGATCATGATCCACCAGCCTGTGAAAAACTGCCAGCAAAACACACCACTGTGACAGCCTGGCAGGGCACAGGGTGCCCAGAGAAGCTGTGGCTGCCCCTGGATCCCTGGAAGTGTCCCAGGCCAGGTTGGACGGGGCTTGGAGCAGCCTGGGCTGGTGGAAGGTGTCCCTGCCCATGGCAGGGGTGGCACTGGATGGGCTTTGAGGTCCCTTCCAACCCAAACCATTCTGTGATCCTATGAAATTCCCTGTGCAGCCTTAGGAAGGAGAATCCTCTAAACACAGGTGAGGTACAGATGATGCAGGACAGGGGTGTTCCAACTGATCTA